GAGCACAGTGGCAACGGCCAACATGTGCATACACCGGGATTCGAACCCGAGACCGCTCTGATACCATGTCAGAATCCCAACCACTAGACCATTGGGATAAAAGGGCTTGTTTCAGTAGCGGGTCAGTGCGCCCATAACCCCCCCAGGCAAACGCGCCTGTAACCCCCCCTAGGATCGATCGGGGATCTCACAGTGTAGCTCTACTGCCACTTACTCCGCTGGAAGGACCGTACACCCACCGAAGACAATTGGGTTCCCCTGGACAGAATCGAAAACCACCCCATCCTTACCGAGTATCTGCGCAGCCGAAATTTCAGGGATGTACACGCACTTTCGTAAGGAGGACCTCCTTAGGGGGGGGGGGTAGTGTAAAGAAAATCCCTTTTCCTTACTTCGCATCCCTGCTCAACGCGTACATCACTGTAGCACCACAGTCAGCACCGTTACCACTCGCAACCTTCGCATCGACAATCCGCCCGCCACCTTCGCACGTCGCACCCCGACTTCACGGCTCGGCGGGTAACCCGCGCTCCGGGCCTCCGCTTCGACACTTTTTCCCAACCTCAGTCCCAGGCCCGTCGCGCGACAACCACAGTCCATTACCGTTACCACTGTAGTTTCGCTATATATTCTTCGCTCATGCCTTTGCTCTTTGTACTCTTGCTTCGATAGTGCAATTCTCGTTCGTTCACTCAATTGCACTCGTAACAGGATGCAACAACCACCACGGAAAAAAACACTTGGAGGAAGACACGTGCGAGGAATACCTGCCACCGAGCATATTCTACAGTCCCAGTTCGCTTGCGTGGATGAATGAAAGCTGACGCTGGCAGTCGAATGAACCAGAAAGTTCATACGCGCCCTGTCGGAAAAATACGGACGATTGCGGGATCGCTCCCGCGTGCTCGCGGAAGCGTTCTGCCCGCGGGCAAGAACAAACTAAAACCCGCTCGGAAGGCATGCGGTTCGGGAGCATCAACCCTCAGAATGTCGAAGGTCTTCCAAGCCAGAAGGGACGGTCGAACCCAACCTGCCATACAAACGAAGTCAGAGATCAAGGAATGGATCTCACCCAAGGGTATCCAGCCAATGGCGAGCAGCAGCCGAAAGTCGGTGGTTTCCAAAACCATTGGCTGAGGCGGCACAACACAACCGAGGAGCTGTTCCAGCAGCTTTTGACCGAGGTGCATTTGATGAGAAGTGGAAGCAGGTTGGATTGTAGGAGGTGCGGGCGGATCCAGTCCAGGAAGACCGGCAGGAAGGGGATGTTGCGGGACGGGGGAAGCGGGATCAAAAAGAGGAAACGCGCTTCGTGGGAGCGCGGTCAAGAAGACTTGTCGTTACATGGCCATCGTGGCTGTGCTGAACGACCACAGAACATTCTCGAAGAATTTCGCGGATGACACGTGACCCCGCCTGGGAAACAGTGAAATTTAAGACGTTTTACGTAAAGCCCCGCGCCGCAATTGTTTTTTCACTGGGACTCACAGCCAGATCACTTGTAAAGTCACAGAGCTCAGTAGTTCTCACCTAAACTTTCATCTTGATACTGCTTGGCTTGCTTTGCTTCAGAAGGGGCGAGTCGTTCCATTCTGAAGCGAGCATCTTCATCTACCAATATGGCGCGGCTCATTCGCGCGATTTCTGCGCTTCCTACCCTCCTTATCCTTCTCCTACTCGCGATCGTCATACGGATCCCTTCCGCATTTGCAAATGTCGACCTTTACACCGTGTGCGGTCGACAAGAGGCAGAGGATGGCACGGTGTCGTTCAAAGTAGTCACGTACAACACGTTGCTCCCCATCAGCCAGCCGGTCTCGCCGCTTGACGCGGTCATTCCTCCCAAGGGCCTCGTTAGCGTCACGGGCGACTGCACATACGCCGTCGACTCGGCATGCAACATCGTAACTAAACGTACGTGTTCTGATACCTCATGTTTTGTGAATATCATGACAATCAGTCACTGTCATCTCATGATGTGAACTTCTCAGTTTCCAGCAGACCGGAGACTGCATATCAAGCGAGAATTCCCAAACGATGCTGTGATCAGGGGTTGCTGCTTCGCTTCTTGCCTCTGCGTATTCCCAATGCCTTTGTATCCTTGTATCCTTTTCTACACCACGTTCCAACTTCTATCCTGTACGTTTCTTCTCTTGGTTCTTGCAGTCCCCCAATGCAAGGCCAGCACGTGCTGCGTCTACTCTAAGGGTCCATTCCGTCTGGCTCTAAGCCCCGCGTGCTCCTCTCCAGATTGCCGCGCTTGGGCGACTGAGTTCTCCGGTCGCTGCCTCGGCGGCGTTGTGAGCAGCAACTGTAATGTGTAGGCAGACGCGCAATGCTGGGAGCGTTTCGACGACACTCCGGAATACAAAGTATGGCTATCAGAAAGGCAAATGGTGGCGGCAGAGAAACCAGGTGCCACTTGGTTGTGAAGAACGTTTTGTGCAGGGTTTGTGCTTAGCTAAGGGAGTGTCCAGCGCGTACATTTACCGTTCATAAATCCTATCAGTTACCACATTTGGAGTTGTAACACTGCATTTTACTGAAAGGGTGGACATGACCAACAATTGTACATGAGACGGCACGCCAGCTGCACGTACCTCGAGTCGTGTGACTCACGGTACTGCATACAGCGTGCGCGCGAACTCGGGTACAGTATCGCGTCCAACAAGCTACAGCAAGTGCCCCCCTGTATTGCTCACAATACTTCGCCAGTGCCGCGCGACTCTCGCCGAAACCACCTGCGCGCTGGCAACATCAGAGATCAACTAGTCCAACTGATCCATGGCTGTGTTAGGCTTGCAATAAAAACCAGTTCCTGTCAGATGGTTATACGTAACTTTTTAACCAATCGATTCCTTATTGCTGTAGCTCTTTAGATGGTATTATTTTTATGTCCACGATGGGGACAGGACATTGCTGCACCATTGTCGAAGTTATTGTTTCCTGTCAGATAATACCTGCGAAAATTGCTATTTCACTTACGCAATTCCTATTTCCAACTCAGGCGCAACCCCATTTCTTAACCATACTCGATCTTTAATACATAGTAGAGTGCTTGTTTGCAATTTCCTCATTATAACATAAATATAATTTCATTCACATATTGTACAGATCACCAAAAAGGTGAGCAATGAATAAAGAAGTTGCAAATGAACTGACATCTGTACTCACGTCATTTTTTCTGTAGATGCATGTGGTTGTTTCCATACTCGGTACACCAGAAAATGTCATGCTTTGATCAGCTGTTGGATGCGCGAAATCAAACCCCAAAAAGTTTCTGGTGGGGGCTTGAGGGGAGCAAGGAGGACCTCTTCCGCAGGCCCTATAAACTAACACCTCTCCCTTTCGCTTGGTCTCTTTTTCACTTGGAGGGGGAACCCCGGAGTCCCTCAACGACGGAATAGTCCTGAGAGGGAACGCCGAGGCGCGCGAGCAGGCGATTAAGCGGACGTACAGAGTTTCTTAGTTGGTTTAGACAGTCAGCAGCCATGCAGATCTTCGTGAAGACCCGTAAGCATCGCTATCCCTGTTATATTCCTTGTAGATGGTGTCATGGTTATACCAATTCCTCCGTCTCCTTCCCCACTTTTCCTACTAAGCGTATTCAGTCCGCTGTGCCGTTGTTCTTGTTCTAGATATTGCTGTACCGTACCTCCTTGTGCTTGCCTTTTCCCGTCTTGCTCGTTCGTCGTGTCCCCCAGTTTTTTGTTTGGCTCCTTAGAAGCCATTATGCCCATGTTCTACTTGCTGTTATGTCATGCCCTGTTCATTCGTCGTAGTTTGACATCTGAATCCATGTGTTGCTGTCTTCCGACTCCATACCTTTGTTTCATTTATGCTCACGTTGTCGCACTATTTTGCCCTCGTCTTGTTTCTTCTTAATCATTGCTCTCACCTCATGCACCCAGTTGGATCCTCTGGACTTCTCTCTTCATTAATCCGCTTTCCTCTCCCCCCGCGGGCCCTTCCTGTCTGATATATTAACCGTGTAAGCAACTCTTTTTCACATTGAAATATCCTCTCTTGCGTGTCCTCTTCTTTCAGTGACGGGCAAGACTATCACCCTTGAGGTGGAGTCGTCCGACACGATCGACAATGTGAAGGCCAAGATCCAGGACAAGGAGGGAATCCCTCCCGACCAGCAGCGCCTTATCTTCGCCGGCAAGCAGCTCGAGGACGGCCGCACGCTCGCGGATTATAACATCCAGAAGGAGTCTACCCTCCATCTGGTGCTGCGCCTGCGTGGTGGTGCCAAGAAGCGCAAAAAAAAGACGTACACCAAGCCTAAGAAGATCAAGCACAAGAAGAAGAAGGTGAAACTCGCGGTGCTGCAGTTTTACAAGGTGGACGACAGCGGCAAGGTTCAGCGCCTGCGTAAGGAGTGCCCGAACCCCGACTGCGGCCCGGGTACCTTCATGGCTAACCACTTTGACCGCCATTACTGCGGCAAGTGCGGCCTGACCTACGTGTACAAGAAGGAAGGCGGTGACGAGTAAGGTGGTCGGAGCTGAGCTGTGTGATGGGACTGGGGTTTTTCTTGCTGGGCCGTGTTTAGGCATTGCTTAGCTCGAGCTTGCTCTTTCCCTGTTAAACAGACTTGATGAAAGATGCGATTAAGTCGCTATTGGTGACTATGCGTGAAGCTGCCTTTGTGGCAGTGGCCGCCTCCTGATTCTCCACTGCATAAAGGGAATTCTAATATTAGTAATAAGGAATAACATAGCTGGCAGGAATATGATGCCCCCAGTGTGCCTAAAATCAACTTAGAGAGATCAATCAGTTGCTAGCAAGCATTTCCATCTCTCATCTCATTCGTGAGCCCAGTACACTTGGTAGTAAACCGCAGAGAGTAGGTTGAAAAAGGTGTGATGAGCTGGTTTATCAGGGAGTGTATACAGCTCAGGAAGAACATTCAGGCCAAGCCCAAGAAAAAAAAGAATTGCAGAACCCAGCAGATACACCTGCAGTCACATTACGGTAGTTGCTGCCATGCCACCCTAGCTGCTGCTGCTGTTGCTGTTGCTGCTGCCTCCAGCAGTACTCTGAGCCTTGCTCCTCTGCTCTTCTGCCATCTGCTCCCACTTTCTCTCCCCTGGCTGCAGCTGCAGCAGCAGCATGTACTCTGTTGCCGCCTCTGCATGCCTGCCCAGTGCTGCCAGGCTGTCAGCACGCCTCTTCCTTGCCTTGCTGTGCGTTGCAATCAGCGCAAGTGCCTCGTCACACGCTGCTACTGCCTCCTCGTGCCTGAGTGCGAGGGGGGATGGGGATGGAGAGGGATGGGAGGGGCACGGAGAGACATGTCGAAAGGTGTGTTTAACTCTCCAGGAGAGGGGTTCGGCATGAAGGGTGACCTAGTACATTACATGCAGCGGAGAAAGCTGCATGGATTTGCAAGCATCAGTGCAACAGCAACGCGCCGGGCGAGGGCAGCAAGCGCAGCAGCAGCAGCGAGGTTCAAGTGGAGGGCAGCTCAGGAGACCACAAAGGACTTGGCTGCGGAGAATGCGTCTTCATCTTCGCAACATGTGCCTTGCATTACTGCACCTCCAACACAGCCACATGTCTCACACCACTGCGACAAGCCTTGGACAGGCACAGCGCAGCGCAACGCACCGGGCGAGGGCAGCGAGCGCGGCGGCGAGGTTGAAATGGAGGGCGGCGCAGGAGAGCACAAAGGACTTGGCAGTGGAGAATGCGCGCACTGCTGCTTCCATGGACCGCTTCTTGTACTGCTCCGCGCCCCTGGCTCTGCGACGGCCTGCCCCCTCCACTCGCACCCGGAACGATTCGACCTGGGGAGGGAGGGAAGAAAAGGAGAGACTCTGTATGAAAATGCGCGCACTGCTGCTGCCATGGACCGCTTCTTGTACTGCTATGCTCTGCGCCCCTGGCTCTGTGGCGACAGGCGCCCTCCACTCGCACCCGGAATGATTCGACTTAGTAGAGAAAGAGGGAGAGAGTTTCCATGAGGGTTATTGCAGTGTAAGGTTGCTTCTTGCTATGCTCTCTGCGCCCCTGGCTCTGTGACGACTTGCCCCCTCCACTCGCACCCGGAATGATTCGACCTAGAGAAGGGGGGAATGGGAAGGGGTTAGAGGGGGGGGGGTGGAGCATATGAAGGTGCCTGAAGCAAAGAACAAGAAGCGGGTTGACAAGGCAAAAAGTTGCAGCATGCAAAGAGAAAAATCAAACAGCGAAGAGCAGAATGAGCTGCGGGTGAGTAGGCAAAGATGATGCCTTGCCTGTATCAGCATATCAGCACACCTCTCTCACCTCTTCCAGTGTGACTTGCGGTCGCAGCCACGATGACGCACCACCCACCCACCCCGCTCTTGCTTTGCTGCTGCCTTCGAAGTCAACTGAAACGAGGCAAAATTTGTAGTAAGAACCGAAGTCGCCTTGCCTGAGTCAGTGCTCTCTCACCTCTTCCACCGTGACTTGGGGTCGCAGCCAGGACAAAGCACCTACCACCCACGGCCCAGCATTGCCCTCCTCCTCACTGCGTTCAGCAGCTTGTGTGAGAGCAGGAGAAGTAGAGGCGGAGGGAGAGGGGGAAGGTGAAGGGGAGTGGAGGAGGAGGAGGTGGTGGTGGAGGGAAGAGAGGATGGAGAGGGCTTTGTCGAAGTCTCCAGTCACCACCAGTGTTTCAGCCTGCAGAGACAAGGAGGTTGAACAGGATTGAGACACAACAATGTGGGTATTGAGTCGACTCGATTGTCAACTCGAGGGTGAAGACGAGGAGGAGGAGGAGGTGGTGGAGGGAAGAGAGGATGGAGAGCACTTTGTCGAAGTCTCCAGTCACCACCAGCGTTTCAGCCTGCAGAGGTAGGAGAGGTAGGAGAAGTGGGAGAGTTGTACAAGGCTGAGGTTGAGGCAAAACCATATGAAGGCAGGAGGGTTAAGTCGAAATAGACCACATGAGCATGAAGGTTGTTGAGGCGCCGCCTTTAGAAATTGTGCAAGTGAAGGTACGTATGCGTACCCATGGCGGCAACACATGTGCACAAACCCACATGCCAACGCAGATACAACTCAAGCACAAACACAGCTCAAATGCGGGTGTTAACCTTCTCGCCTTCCCTCCTCACAAAAAAAAAGTAGTAAACGCCTATTTAAGTGAAGAGTAAATGTATATATATATATGACCCTGTGCTCAGCTCAGCATGCACAAAATCCAGCAACACCACACGTCACACAGGCATACCGTACCAGCCTCCACAGCACTCCACTGCATCGCACCTTGCACATGAGTAGCCGGCCTTTCCACTTGTGCAAATCACTCCCTTGCGCGTCAACCTCCTCTCCTCCCGCCTCTCCATCCCCCCCTTCTCTCAACATCCCTTCAAGCTCCTCCAAAGCTCCCTCGGGATCCCCTCCCTCCACCACTCTCCTCCCACCACCACCACCTCCGCCACTGCCACTACTACCCTCACCACCACCACCATCCCCACCAGCAGCAGCAGCAGCAGCAGCAGCAGCAGCAGCAGCAGCAGCAGCAGCAGCAGCAGCAGCAGCAGCAGCAGCACCATCATCCTCACGGGATCCCCCTGCAGCATCTGGTTCACACCCCACCGCCTCACGGACTCCTCCTGGCAGCATCTGCTCCCCTTGTCTTCCCAGCAGCCTGCTTTCAGCAGAGAGCAGGCAATGCAGGAAAGAGGAGGAGGCAGGGCTTAGGCCTGGGGATGAACCAATGGAGGAGGCTCTCGAGGAATTTGCTGCTGCTGCTGCTGCTGCTGCTGCTCCACTACCCTCCTCTCCTCTCTCTTCTCCCTCTCGCTTCTCCTCTTGCCCTTCGCTTCCGCTGCCTGCCTCCCCTCGTTGCCCTTTTCCCTGCTCGCCCTCTTCCTGCCCCCGCTTCTCCCCCTCCTCTTCACCCTCCCCCTCCTCCCCTTTCTCCCCCTCCTTCCCTTTCGCCCCCCCCTTCTCCCCCTTCTCCCCCTTATCCCCATTCTCCCCCTTTTCTCTCTGCGCCTGCACCAGCTGCGGCAGCTCTGGGAACATGGCGCTGAGCTGGGGGGAGGCCAGGATGAACGACACTGATTCACGTGCAAACGCCCGCTTGTCATCGTCCTGAGGAAGGTTGGGTGGGGGTGAAGAGAATGAGGGAGATGCAGGCGGGCAGTGAGGTGAGGTGGGCTGAGCTGGGGAGAGGCCACGATGAACGAGACCGACTCGCGTGCAAACGCCCGCTTATCATCGTCTTGACAAGAGTTAAGAGGGGCAGGTTGTGGGGGTGGGGGGGAGGAGAATGTGGGAGATGCAGGGAAGGGAAGATGGAGGTGAGGTGAGGTGGGCTGAGCTGGGGGGGGACCAGGATGAACGACACTGACTCACGCGCAAACGCCCGCTTATCATCGTCCTGACAGGGGTTGTGGGGGGAAGGTTGTGGGGGAGAAGGAAATGTGGGAGATGGAGTGAAGGGACGACGGAGGTGGGATGGGGTGAAGCGGGTTGAGAGGTGGGGGGGGGGGGGGGGGGATGAAGGGGACTGACTCACGTGCTTGCTAACATGCCACTTCTCATCATGCTGACAACGTTCGGGGCAGTTGAGTGCATGCATGCAAGTGTATGTGCATGTGGGCGCATGCATACGCATGAATGTACGGATACAGCAGCAGCAGCAGCAGCAGAGCACTCACAGTGGTTTCGAGAGATCCTGTGGTCTGAGTGTTTTCCACCATAAAGGATAACAGCCCTATCACCACTGTCGCAACTGACCTGCATGCACACACGCATGCATGCACGCGCGCACAGAGAGAGACAAACGCCAGAGGGAGTGGGGAGAGGGGTAACGTGAGAGTGGGGAGACGGCAAGAGTAGGTAGAGGGGAAGGGGGAAAGGAAGAGAGGGGTGGAGAAGAGCCAGGGGGGTCTGTCAGTCGCAGACAGGTGGGCTGCGGAGGTCTTACTTCCATCAACTCAGAGGTGGACAAGAGCCAGGGGGATGAAGTAAGACGGCATTCTTTCACAACATCTCAATGCTAGCCGTTCAGTAAGCAGCAATGGTGGGCGGGAGGGATACAGGACTTGTGAAAGGGCCTGAGAGGGGTTGAAAGGTTGAGAAATTGGGAGGGGTTGATGGGGTGTAAAGGGGTCTGCAAGGATTCCCTGATCTCATAAAGTGCAGAGAGGACAAGCCGGGAGCTGTTCCGAGGATTTGCCTGCCTGCGTGCTTACCACATGGGATTCCAGCTCTCTGCGTTGTTGCCATGTGGCGTGTTGAATGGTGTCGTATCGTACAGTGTGGCAGAGTGGGCAGGGCACGGCAGGGCAGCCCAAGGAAGACATGTCGGTTGCAGTAGAGATGGGAGACGGGGGGAAAGGAGAGAGGGAGCAGAGCATAGGGAAGGGAATAGTTGGTCTACACTGCTCATAGCATATAGGCTCTCCCTGCACTTGCCTGTACTACAAGTTGTACATTAATGAAAGGACCATTCGAGGAGAAGAGTTAGGAGAGGGAAACATGCATCAGGATGGGTGTGTAGATGTGGAGTGGAGATGTGATGTGTGCATGACCAAGGCATAGAGATTGAAGAGATGTGACCATGTGATCATGTGATGCGCGACAAGACACAGCCAAAGGCATGGAAAACACGCTGCATGCTGCACCACGCTGCACACCCAGCTCCTTGTGCCACCTTCAATACGCAGATACGCCGGCACAAGAAGAATCATCTTCACTGCGTATCCACGTGAAAGAAGAGTGCTTTTGAGATGTCTTAAAACACTCTTCTTTCCTTGTGTGCCACCTTCAATATGCAGGTACGCAAAGCAGGCACAAGGTGACTTTTGAGTCGACTCAAAACGCACAAGAATCATCTTCACTGCGTATCTGCCTACTACCCCCTCCCCCTCTCCCTGTTCTCTTCCCTCCCCACAACCTCCCCTTCCCCCCTGCTGTCTCTCTCCTCTTCCTTCTTCCTTCCCGTCTCTCTCCTCGTCCCACCCCCCTTTCTCTCTCACTTCCCCTCCCCCACCTTTGCACTCAACCTCAACCCGTTTTCGCATTCTCCCCTCTCCACCAGCAACCCCCCCAATCACACACGCCCCCCGCACTCACCCGGGTGGAAATCAGAGATGGAGAGGCAGAGGCGCGTGTTGGTCTTGAGAGCTTTGAAAGGCCCCAAAATTCAGACTCTCATACATGCCCACTCACCCAGACACGCTCACCCTTGAGTTTACATCGGAGAGTGAACTCACCCGGGTGGAAATCAGAGATGGAGAGGCAGAGGCGAGTGTTGGTCTTGAAGCGGCCGGAGGGCGAGAGCATGAGGATGGCGGGCGGGCGGAAGGGGTAGTCATGGGGGAAGCGCAGCTTCGCAACGTACCACCCGCCCTCGTACGGCGTGTCGGGGGGACCCTCTAGGAGGAAATGCCACTCCAGCATGTTTCGTTCGTTCACATGCACCTGAGAGGAGAGGGGAGGGGTGGGGGCCGAGGGGTAGTCATGGGGGAAGCGCAGCTTCGCAACGTACCACCCGCCCTCGTACGGCGTGTCCGGGGGGCCTTCTAACAGGAATTGCCACTCCAGCATGTTTCGTTCGTTCACATGCACCTGGGGAAGGATGGGGGAGAGTTGGGGCGGAAGCGGGGGAAGGGGGGATGTGTTTTGGGGGATGAGTGGGACGGACGCGCCACTTACCACTCGCACTGGTAGGGCGTGTCGGGGGGGCCTTCTAGGAGGAAGTGCCACTTCAGCATGTTTCTCTCGTTCACATGCAGCTGGGGGGCGGTAGGGGCAGGGAAGGAAGCGGGAGACGAGAGAGGATCTAGGAGATGGGGGGAGGCGCAGGCGCGCCACGTACCACCCGCCCTCGTACGGCGTGTCGGGGGGACCTTCTAGGGGGAAGTGCCACTTCAGCATGTTTCTCTCGTTCACATGCACCTGGGGGAGAGGCCGGGGAAGGGGGGAAAGGGGGGAAAGGGGGGGGAATGGGAAGGGAATACTGCGAGTATCTCATAATATGGAGACTGGTGGGGATGAGAGGGGGAAGGAAAGGAATGCGGAGGGGGCTTGTGACGGGGGAAGGGGGGAGGATCGAGCAGGCAGAAAGTGGCGAGTGTTGAGTCGTCTGGAGGAAGTCGCTTTCCAATGATGTGCGGCGGAGGGCTTTAGGGAAGTCGGAGGGCTTTAGAGACGTCTCAGGAGTTACCAGCGGGATGTGCGGCGGAGGGTCTTTGAGGAAAGACGCGAGCTCCTTCTTTAGCTTCAACAGACACCCCTTGCGAGCCGTCATGCTGCTGCTTCTGCTGCTGCCGTTGCTCACGAAGTTGGGTGACGATGCTGCTGCTGACGCTGCTGCTGACGAGGAGGGGCCGCGGCGCAGAATACGGAGCCAAGGAGAATCTGACGACAGGTGTGTGACGGAGATTGCGTCGCGCAAGCGATCAACGGTCCAGCGAGGGAAACGCGGCGCGCGTGGACGCGCAGCGGTCGATCGTCTAGCGTGAAGCACGCGAAGCCGGTCTGCGCGCACGTTGTAGCCGTAGTAACCGATATGTGCCAATACCTATGTAGACGCTGGCTAAGAAACTCGTGCCGAACTCCTACCAGTTGTTATTTCATTCAGATCCGATCTGACCTGAAATGGGGGCGTGGAGTGGGTTTAGAGGCGGTGTATTCTGGTTTTGTCGCTTTGACGGTGTGTGGATGCACGAAGGATGGGCGAGGCGCGGTGAAGGCCGTCCTGCGTTATACAGCAATAGCATATGCGCATGTATAATTGATCAAGAGAATCATATACGCATGACTTCTAATGGGATTCATTTCACATTCATCATTGCATGCATTTATGTGTAGGACAATCTATATCGGATGGCCGCACGACGTGCATGTGCTGTCAAATGAAAGCTATTGAAGGACCATAAATTTCACTCTATAATTATCTATGCAAAACACGGTGTGACATGCACTTTACCATTCTTCGCTCACCGTCCGTGATAACTTCAGCACCCTTCTTAATCCCTCTGAATACCCACACCTCCGTATGGATGCACACTCCCACATGGTAAGCTCAACCCACCCATACACACCCCTCCCACTGGCATGTGCTCCTCCTCTCTCCCCCCCTGATCCATCACAAGACTCCCCAGTCCCATCTGTTCTAGTGTTAGCTCCTCCTCCCCATCCTCCCTATCTTCCTCTTCCTCCTCGTCCTCCTCATCTTCCTCTTCCTCCTCATCCCATCTGTGGCCCATCATCACCCCTTCCAACCCAATCTCCTGCTCTTGGTACCGGTACTCATTCCTCTCCTCCCCCTCCTCCCCATCCCCCACATCCTCCCCATCCTCCTCCTCGTCGTCCTCCTCATCACTCTCCACCATCTCCCCAGAAATATCCTCAAGCGATCTCCCTTTCGTTTCCGGCAGCAGGAACGTGCACAGAAACCCCACGCCCGCACACGCCATGAGAATAAACATCGTATTCTGCACGCCGATCCCAGGCGGATACCCCGTATTCGAAACAGTCCCGACCGAAGCAGTCTCTTGTAAGGGAGTCTCCTGCGACGCGTACACAAACCCAAACGAGCCCACGATCGCACCCAGCTTCCCTGCAGCCGAGCTAATCCCATGGCACGTCGACCGGAACCGGGCAGGAAAAAGCTCCGCGGGCAGGATAAACGTCGTGCTGTTCGGCCCGAAATTCGCAAAGAAGAAAGTCAGAGCGTAGAGACACAGCAGCGCAATCGGATTACCCCCGCACGTCGTATGACTAGGGTCCTCTATCGGAGGATCAGGGCAGGGTGTGGTGGCAGTGGGCGTGCAGGGGAGGGTGCAGGGGTCGCCGTGGAGCTTGGGGTAGAAGCCAGCAAAGAGGCCCATGAATATGGTCATGAAGAAGAACCCTTGTAGCTGCACGAAGACTCGGCCGAGCTTGTCGACTGTGAACACTGTCACCCAGTAGCCGGGGAGCGTGGCACAGAGCGTCATGAGCGCCTGGCGGGAGGAGGGGATGGGGGACGAGGGAGCGGGAAGAGGGGGAACAGGGGAAGGGAATGAGGCTTGCCCAAGCTTGTCCACTATGAAGACTGTGTCACCCAGTAGCTTGGGAGCATGGCACAGAGAGTCATGAGCGCCTGGCGGGAGAAGGAGAAGGGGAATAGGGGAAGGAGATGCGGCTTGCCCAAGCTTGTCGCCTGTGAAGACTGTGTCACCCGGTACCCCAATAGCCTCTCTTTCCCCGCCTCACCCCTCACACCCCCACCCCCCTTTCCTACCCCATTGCACAGCCACTCACCGTGGCCTGGGACAGCTCGTACATCTCCCTCAGAGCGCTCGTGCTGTCTGTCACCCCGACACCCCCACTGCCCCTCCCACCTCCCCGCCATCTGCCCTATCTATCTACTCACGGCTTTTTTTCTGGGAATTCCCACAGGATGCATGCTCCCCCTTTCCTGCCACTCACCGTGGCCGCGGACAGCTCGTACATCTCCTGCAGAGCGTTCATGCTGTAGGGCGGCATGACCCTTTTCACCGACAGCGCCTCTTTCCCCGCCTCGCCCCTCCCTCTCCCTCCTTCCCTCCCCCTCCTGCCTCATCACGCCGCCACTCACCGTGGCCTTGGACAGCTCGTACATCTCCTGCAGGGCGTTCATGCTGTAGGGCGGCACCACCCTGACAATATTGAAATCGCTATTGAGAATTCTCAAAAGCGATTTCAATGAGAATTCTCAAAAGCGATTTCAGTAAGGATTTTCAAGTGATTTCAATGAGAATTCTCAAAAGAGACAGTTCATACATCTCCTGCAGGGCGTGGCGTGCATGCTGTACAACGGCACCACCCTCCACCCTGACACAGTGTCGTGTGCCGTTGTAACGAGGTGACTTTTGAGTCGACTCAAAAGTCATGCTGTACAACGGCACCATTCCAACACACCCCTCTCGCCCTCCTCCCATTCGCCTCTTCGCCCCATCTGCTCTCTCTCTCTCTCTCTCTCTCTCTCTCTCTCTCTCTCTCTCTCTCTCTCTCTCTCTCTCTCTCTCTCTCTCTCTCTCTCACGCTCTTTCACCATACACTCACCGTGGCCTTGGACAGCTCGTACATCTCCTGCAGCGCGTTCATGCTGTCACCCCAGCAGCCTCTTTCCCCGCCTTGCCCTTGTCTCCCACTCCATACCCCCCGCTCCCTTTTTGAGAATTCTCAAAAGCTGGTTTTTGAGAATTCTCAAAAACCATACCCCCCGCTCCCCAGCCCCATCACAACAACACTCACCGTGGCCTTGGACAGCTCGTACATCTCCTGCAGGGCGTTCATGCTGTACGGCGGTGCGACCCATCCAATGGCCGTGAACAGGTCGCGATTGAACAGGTTCTGCGAGTAGTAGGCTGTGTCCACCAGGAACCAGCACGCGGCCGTGGCGAGCAGGTGCACGCCGTGGTGGTGCAGGAACTCGCGGGAGAGCAGGCTGTATGTTCGCACAGGGGCGGTGGCCAATTCAATCTCCACATCGGCCTCCTCGAACGCAGAGTGGAGCACCTGGGGAAGGGGGGAAGGAGGGAAGGAGGGGGGAGGGCGGGGCCTCGGGCGGGCTCTTGAGTCGACTCCTAAGTCAGAACGGTTGAACAGGTTCTGCGAGTAGTAGGCTGTGTCCACCAGGAACCAGCACGCGGCCGTGGCGAGCAGGTGCACGCCGTGGTGGTGCAGGAACTCGCGCGAGAGCAGGCTGTACGTTCGCACAGGGGCGGTGGCTAGCTCGATCTCCACGTCTGCTTCTTCAAAGGCCGAGTGCAGGACCTGGGGGTGGGAGCGAGGGAGGAAAGGGGGCGGCAGAGGGGTGGGCAGCAGAAGAAAGAGGGACGGACGGGTGGCCGGCAGAAACGCACAGGCTTGATTTCCACGCCTGCCTCCTCAAAGGCCGAGTGGCGGTCCAGGTGGTGGGAGGGAGGGCGGGTGGGAGGGAGGAGAAGATTGGGACTTGAGACGCCTCAACTCGCGCCAGCACAGGCTGTACGTGGGAAGGAGGGAGTCACCTTTGCCAGCCCAAGTCTCCAGAATCAAACTCCCAGCCCCACTCTTCCATCCAAAACCACCGAACCCCACCCACCCACTCACCCACCCACCTGGCCCATATCACGTGCAGCCTGCTTGGCATTTCTTTGCACGAGCGCGGTAAACCTTGGCGTCTCCGGCATGGTCATACGGAAGTAGAAGGTGAGCGCTGCTGGCACGTACACCCCACCCCTCCACAACCCCCCACCACCCACCTGGCCCATATCACGTGCAGCCTGCTTGGCATTCCTTTGCACGAGGGCCGTAAACCTCGGGGTCTCCGGCATGGTCATGCGGAAGTAGAAGGTCAGTGCTGCCGGCACCGCCCCTACTCCTAGCACCACCCCCCCACTCCCCATCCCCACAGCCCCCCACCCACCCACCCTCCCATCCCCACAGCCCCCCACCCACCCACCTGCCCCATATCCCGTGCAGCCTGCTTGGCATTCCTTTGCACGAGGGCCGTAAACCTCGGGGTCTCCGGCATGGTCATGCGGAAGTAGAAGGTCAGTGCTGCCGGCACCGCCCCCGCTGCCAGCACCAACCCTCCACTTCCCCCCATCTAGCAGCGCTGCTTATGCACCAGGTTAAGCCCGCCCAAGAAACCAGAATAAAACCCCCATCTGCCTCACCCAACCTTACCCAACACCATCCAGCCCCACCGAACTCCACCCACCCACCCACCTGCCCCATGTCCCGTGCAGCCTGCTTGGCATTCCGCTGCACGAGCGCGGTAAACCTCGGGGTCTCCGGCATGGTCATGCGGAAGTAGAAGGTGAGTGCTGCCGGCACCGCCCCCGCTGCCAGCACCACGCGCCACGCGTAGTCGGCTTGGGGGGGCACGGAGGCAATAGCGCCCTCGTCGAAGGGCGGCGAGGGGAAGGCTGCGTTGAAGAGAGCCCCGATGGCCATTGTGAAAAGCGCTGCTGCTAGTATGCCCATGCCCTGGCGGCAAAGGGAGGGGTGAGGTGGGATGGAATGGAATGGGTGGCGGGAGGTTGAAGAGAGCCCCGATGGCCATGGTGAATAGCGCTCCTGCTAGGATGCCCATGCCCTGGCGGCAAAGGGAGGGGTGGAAAGGGGGGGGGAAGGGAGGTTGTATGGTGCTGCTTGGGGGGAGTACGTACATGTATGGTGCTGCTTGGGGGGGGGGGGGGGGGGGGGGGGGGGGGGGGGGGGGGAGTACATGTATGGGGCTTTTGGTGGGCAGAGATGAAGAGAGCTCCAATGACCATGGTGAATAGTGCTGCTTTTGAGAATTCTCAAAAGGTGAATAGTGCTGCTGCTAGGATGCCCATGCCCTGGCGGCAAAGGGAGGGGTGAGGTTGGAATGGGTTGGAACGGAGGGAGAAAGGAGGGATGGGATCTTCTTGCTGACATGGTGGGGTTGACGAGTGTGTGGAATGGGCATGGTGGTGAGAGAGGGCTGCTGCTGCCAGAACCACTCGCCAGGCATAGTCGGCTTGGGGGAGTACGGAGGTGTGAAGGGAAGGGAAGGGAAGGCACCCTCATCGAAATGGAGGGAAGGGAAGGCTGCGTTGAAGAGAGCCCCGATGGCCATTGTGAATAGCGCTGCTGCTAGTATGCCCATGCCGTGCAGGGGTGGAGTGGTGGGGGGTGGGGTGGGATGGGATGGGGTGGGGTGGGGTGGGGTGGATTGGGGTGGGGTGGGGTGGGGTGGGGTGGAGTGGGGTGGGGTGGGGTGGGGTGGAGTGGGGTGGGGTGATGGCCCATGTGACTAGCTAACTTGGTGTGATTGAGTGGGATGCGATGGGAAGGCATGCAATGGCATGTGATGTGATGCATGCACATGGACTATAGCATGCCTTATACTATAGGCATACCTGCATGGCAAAGACAGCTGCAATGAAGCCTCCTCGAGTCTTGGTGTTGGCATATCTGGCCTTGCATGCAAGGATGGAATGCACATGGAATGCACATGGAACACGAAAGTCACAGAAAATGCACAAGCATAACAAATAGTTCACAAGGTGCAGCGCACTGAGAGAGGCGGTACCACTACTGAGCTTCCGTAACCCCTAGGTAAAACTGCTGGTAAGCAACTCTACAAACAGCACCTTCAGCACAAAGTGGGTAACGCTGACTGCCCCATCCACTCACTACGAACCCCAGCCAGAAAGAGAAAAAGCAGAGAGTAGAGATGACAGCATTGGGGGAGGAGCAGAAGGAGGAGAGTGACAGCAGTAGACTGCCCCACCGCTGCCAGCAAACCCTACTACATACCCTGCTGTTTTACCCACATAACATACAGGGTTAATCCCAGAGTAGATAGGTGACTTGAGTCGAATCAAAAGTCACCTCGTTACAGGGGATAATCCTAGACTAGATAACCCTCTCTCTCTCTCTCCCCTTCTTCCCCTCCCCTCCCCTCTCTCTGCACTCACTTCAACACGTCGACAGGCGACACAGGGGAATCCCCTCCTTGTGAGCGATTCTTGAGAATTCTTGTAACCTCCTTCTCTTCTCCCCTCCCTCCCTCACCCCTCCTCCCTGCACTCACTCGGACATGATAACAGCCGATAACGGATAGTCCCCCCCCACACCGAACCCCAGCCAGAAGCGGAAGAAGCAGAGAGTGGAGATGACAGCCGTGGGGGAGGAGCCGAAGGAGAGAGACTGTCCCACTGCTGCTAACGAAACCTTTCCACCCACATACTTTACAGCTGAATAACCCTTTCTCTTCTCTCCCCTTACCACCCCCCATCCCTCCCTCACCCCTCCTCCCTGCACTCACTCGGACATGATAACAGCCGATAACGGATAGTCCCCCCCCACACCGAACCCCAGCCAGAAGCGGAAGAAGCAGAGAGTGGAGATGACAGCCGTGGGGGAGGAGCCGAAGGAGAGAGACTGTCCCACTGCTGCTAGCATCATGATGATGAGCGTTATGCCGTACACCCGCTTGCGCCCCCACCTGTCACCCAGACGACCGAAAAAGAGCTGCGCTTGGGAGGGATGTAGCCGAAAGAGTACGGGGGAGAGGGGGAAGGGGGACGAGCGGGTTGGAGAGAAGCCGAAAGAGAGAAGGATGTAAGAAGCGAGAGGACGGGGGAGAGAGGTGGGGGGAGAGAGGCGGGGGGGAGAGAGGCGGGGGGGAGAGAGGCGGGGGGGAGAGAGGCGGGGGGGAGAGAGGCGGGGGGAGAGAGGCGGGGGGGAGAGAGGCGGGGGGGAGAGAGGCGGGGGGGAGAGAGGCGGGGGGGGAGAGAGGCGGGGGGGAGAGAAGCGGGGGGGGAGAGAGGCGGGGGGGAGAGAGGCGGGGGGGAAGAGAGGCGGGGGGAAGAGAGGCAGGGGGGGAGAGAGGCGGGGGGAAGAGAGGCGGGGGGAAGAGAGGCGGGGGGGAGAGAGGCGGGGGGGGAGAGAGGCGGGGGGGGAGAGAGGCGGGGGGGGAGAGAGGCGGGGGGGAGAGAGGCGGGGGGGAGAGAGGCCGGGAGGAGAGAGGCGGGGGGGGAGAGAGGCGGGGGGGGAGAGAGGCGGGGGGAAGAGAGGCGGGGGGAAGAGAGGCGGGGGGGGAGAGAGGGCGGGGGGGAAGAGAGGCGGGGGGGAAGAGAGGCGGGGGGGAGAGAGGCGGGGGGGGAGAGAGGCGGGGGGGAGAGAGGCGGGGGGGGAGAGAGGCGGGGGGGGGAGAGAGGGCGGGGGGAGAGAGGCGAGGGGGAGAGAGGCGGGGGGGAGAGACGCGGGGGGGAGAGAGGCGGGGGGGGAGAGAGGCGGGGGGGAGAGAGGCGGGGGGGAGAGAGGCGGGGGGGAGAGCAAGAGAGGAGGAGAGGCGGGGGGCACCACTGGGTGTAGGGAATGGGGTAGTGACAGTTGATTTGAATCGAATTGAACTGAATCGAATGGGCTTGGAAATAAATGAGAATGCTGAGAGTGGCAAGCGGAAGCGACATCACCCATGCCCCACCTACCCATGTCCGAGCCAAACCATGCCCAGCCAACCCCTGCCTCAACCCATACCATGCCCTACCATGCCACGCCATGCAACACCATGCCACACCATCCCCAACCCGTGCCATGCCACACCGCACCATGCCACGCCCCCTCATCTCCCTCACCATGCCAACAAAGGCCCCCAAAAGGGTGGTGCACGTTACGAGTGAGTTACAGCAGCAGGCAGAGCAAGACACAGCTAGGAACGTTCAGGCACGCCCAGCCATGCCCCAGGCCCTCATCTCCTTTCCTCACCATGCCAAAGAAGGCTCCGATCAGGGCGATGCCGGTTACGACTGAGTTGACCCCAGCAGGCATGCGCCCAGGCGTGTCACTGCCAGGGCTGTAGTAGTAGATGCGGCCTAGCAGAGGAGCCACTCCGGATATGCTGCAGCGGGGGGAAGAGGGGGAAGGTGAGGGGGAAGGGGAGAGGGATGAGGGACCGTGTTGGCGCCAGCGGGCTTGCGACCAGGCGTGTCACTGGAAGGGTTCTAGTAGTAGATACGACTTTTGAGGCGCCTCAAAAGTCGACCAGGCGTGTCACTGGAAGGGTTGTGATAGTAGTAGATACGGAAGAGGATAGGGGCCACTCTGGATATGCTGAAGCGGGGGAGGGAAGGCGGGGGAGAGAAGAGAGGGGAGAGGGATGAGGGATGACGGACTGAGTTGACAGCGGCAGGTATGCGACCAGTTGAGTCACTGGAAGGGGTTGTGGTAGTAGTAGATACGGACGAGGATAGGGGCCACTCTGGATATGCTGAAGCGGGGGAGGGAAGGCGGGGGAGAGAAGAGAGGGGAGAGGGATGAGGGATGACGGACTGAGTTGACAGCGGCAGGTATGCGACCAGTTGAGTCACTGGAAGGGGTTGTGGTAGTAGTAGATAGATGCGGTGTGGTGGTTGGTAGATGCGGCCTAGGAGAGGGGCCACTCCGGATATGCTGCACAGGGGGGGGATGGAAGGAAGGAACAAGCTTCGAGGCGCCTCTGAAACTTGTTGTGCTGGTACGTGCGGTCTAGGAGGGGGGCCACTCCGGAGGGAGATCGGGGAGAGGGGCGGAAGGCGTGGGGAAGTGGCGGGGAGCTAAGGGGGAGAGGGAAAAGGGAGAATAGGCGGATACACGACGACGAGGTGGTTACCAGCTGGTTACTTGTGGTAACCAGAAAAGCAGGTAGTTTCTAGGTGGCGAGGCGGTTGCGCAAAGAGGTCGTATGCGTCTATAAAAAACCCGAGGCCAGAAATGAAGTGAAGCAAAGTGAACAGTGGGAATGAAGTGATACAGCTGCATGCTTTTAAGGATTCTCAACAGACAGCGAGGCGGTTACGCGAAGAGGTCGTAGGCGTCAGTGAAGAAGCCGAGGCCAGCAATGACGATGGCTGTGAAGTGATACAGCTGCATGCGCGCCTGATCCAAGCTGCGCAGCACCCCCACCGCCATGCTGCTCCCTGCTGCTGGTGCTACTGCTGATGCTACTGCTGCTGCTGCTGCTGCTGCTGATGGTGCTGATGAGGATGATGAGGGTAATGGTGTTGGTGATGATGGTGATGCTGCCGCCTACCGCACCACGCACCCACACACGCCCTTCCGTCAAAGCTATGAAGGGATTAGTTTCGATCCACAGCGAGCCTACTAGCTAGATTTGAGCCCACACACGCCTTTCCTTCCTGCCCCTCCCAAGCACTTCCTCTTCACTCCCTGCCACCCAACCCCTCTTCCCCCTAACCCTCTCCCACCCCACCTCTACCTCCGTCTCCCCTTTCCACTCTCTTCCTCTTCCCTCGCCACGGCTTGCTAGAGCAAGGCGACGTTGACGCCTCGCTTCATGGATTGGACACAAACGGACGGCATCGCAGACAGGCAGGGGCTGGCTGGCAGGCAGGCAGGCAGGCAGGCAGGCAGGCAGGCAGGCAGGCAGGCAGGCAGGCAGGCAGGCAGGCAGGCAGGCAGGCAGGCAGGCAGGCAGGCAGGCAGGCAGGCAGGCAGGCAGGCAGGCAGGCAGGCAGGCAGGCAGGCAGGCAGGCAGGCAGGCAGCAGCAGCAAGGCAGCAGCAGCAGGGCGGCAGCAGCGGCTGCTGCTGCGGCCAGATAGGGTCGTGCGTGTCCCCCAGGGGAGTACAGGTGAGACTCTTAGCGTCGATAGCCCTCGATCCGTCACCACAGGAACCTGACCAACCCCTCTTCCGCCGTCAGGACGCACCGCACGTCACCGCAACCCACCGCATTACACCGACCTTTCCTCCCCTTGGTCCTCTTGCTACAGCGTTACAGGCTCAGATGCGACCGCACAAACCGGTCATGCAGTCTGGTCACGTCACCCTGTCAGAACTCCCTCTCTCTGAGCTCGCTCGTCTAGTCTTTCCGTGCAGGCGTCAATCCATGTTCTACTGAGTACATTTCAAAACGTGCTAGTCCCTGTAACGGACCATCCCTGTGACGGAATCCGTGACGTTTTCTGTTCCGGTTTCTGTAACGGTCCCTGTCGGTGTCCAACTGTGCCTGTAACGGTTGCTCTCGTTCCGAAACCGTCACCGTCTGTCAACACACGCTGAAACGGCAACCTCCAGAAGCCCTACTCCCTATGGCTCGAGCGAACCCGTTATAAGGTGGACGGATCCGACCCGCTGGAACGGATTCTCTTGCGATTATTCTACCAGGACTTCCGTTCATGTGTTGCTGGAGGGCCAATGCCTCCACTGCCAGACATCCTAGAAAGAAATATGGTCACTGAAAAGTATGGCGCGAAGACGGTATTAGGGCGCGTTTCAGGCCTCGTAACAAGCGACTTCCGAACAAGTTGGTCGTCGCACAGGGCCCAAGTTGTTACGAGGCTGAAAGTTATACCTCAGAACAAACAAGTTTCAGCACGACCAAGTAATTCGCACATGTACAAGGTTTGGTCGCAGCCAGTAGAATGGCGCGTCGATTCACTGTCTGCGAAGGCCTGCCAGGTCCATAAACTGACGGCTTTACGAGCCATCTTTTTGTTGGTGCTGCCCAAAAATATTTTTAGGGGAAAGGTTCAATTTACCGCTTGGTCAATTGCAAACAACATCACAAACAGGCCAGCCTCTTTGCTTCGAAAATGCCTTGGACACACACCGTTTTGACCGTTTCGACTTCAAACAGTCCGTCAATTTTTTTTCACCAGCTAGAGGGTGACGAAAACCGGTCGCTTGCTGTCAGGTAGACAGTGCGCGACCCGGAGAATCATGATCGCCAGCGTTTGTAATTCGACTAGCTTTTAGCAAGAAGCTGTTACTAAGTTTTGGTCGCCCCTAGTCGCCCAAAGTAGCAGAAAATCGCAAAGGTATCGCTTGTTGCGAAGTGGCTTGTTCGTAACAGCTTGAAATGCGCCCTTAGTAGCGGCCGAGGTTGTGTTCTTGAGGAACTGTGAGGTGAGTTTTCGGCGTCGGGTCGCGATGCGGAAAATGGAGGACGATGATGTGGCTGGGCGGTCTTGGAGTGTGGTCGGTGGTGGAAAAATCTGACACCAGAAGCACTTTTGAGCGCGTTTAGAGAATGTGCGTGTCCTTCTTACAAGTACTTCCTGGCAGACATGTAGCTCGCTTTTCTTTAGGCCCTCTTGTATTTCACATTTTTGGACGATTGTTGCATACATTTTACATGTTTTTTATTTTACTATGATTTTTCATATTCATTGGCCCCAATCCAATGTGAAAATCTTGTAGCATTGTATAGAAACCAGAATCGTCTCGAATAAGTTCTTTCGTTGCATCATTAATAAATATGGGTATGAAATATATCGCACTCGGTTTAAGGCATTTTATGCTGGATGTGGTGTGATGATTGTCTTTTGTGAAATTTATCAGCTAGATTATGAATGCCACTTTGTCCTTGAATTGGATCATTCATTCTCTGGGCACTTCACCTCCACTTCAAGGCACACTTGGATTCGCCACGTGCCTAGACTTAAACGGTTCAGATCATGTAACGTGGCAATCAGCCAGCGATTCTCGACGTGGCATTCTTCGAGGTACTTGATTCCTGGCCCTTGAAGTTTCCGCAAAGTTCCCGCCACTTTTTAGCCTGGAACCTCCGAACTGATCATGCACCCCACCACACGCCAGGACCAGGATTCACGGCCCAAATTCGCCAATCCAGAAGCTCCGCCTGCCCCATCCAGGATGTACCATGCAGGATGGAATTGAGGGACTACCGCAGCACGTAGTGAAAGGAAGAAGCAAAGGGAACCTAGAGATCATCCAGATTCTAGACCAGGTCTCTCCTGACCAGACACGCACACTACAGGTAGCGCGCACACAACAGCAAGCATTCTTGTACAGTTCTGCCAAAGGGAGTGCCGAGCTGAGCCGATCCGGGAGAGCCCAGCTCCGCACTTCTACTAGGTGTATTGTCGAACTGTCGGAGCGCTTCTGGTCTGGTCTGATTCGCAGCGACGAGTCTAAGTGTTCAGAGTATCAAGTGCACGAGAAGAGGCGGAAGGCTCACCAGCCCCGACATTGCAGCGTGATCCGCCGCCTGTGTGTGCTGTCTAACGACGAAATTGAGGCACGCGAATTGGTTCTCCCGCAATCTGGGCTGTTTCCTTGTCCTGGTTCTCTGAAAGAAGCTCTCTTTCCGGAAATACCTTAGTGCTGCGTAGGCGATCTCTCCTCGAGGCAGCATTCTAGCCTGAAGTGCTCGAACCTAACCAGCTCGTATATTGACGAAGTTGACGACTAATCTCACTCTCGCTCGCTCTTCTTCACGATATGGCTTCAACAGCCACTCAGTCGGTGGTGTCTGGGAGTCTCTCACGTGCGCCGCGCAGCAGAAGCAGCAGCCGCGGAACCACGGTAAACGCCACTCTTAGTGCCGGTCGTCCGTTATGCCTCGCTCGTCGTCTCTCCCCGCTCCTCCCGTCCTGCTCTCCCCAACTCCCCGCACTCCGCCGCAACTCCCGGCGGCAGTCCGTGTCCTCCGTCCATTCGGCTCTAACCTCGTCCTCACCCTCGAATACCCTCAGTGCCAGCACCTCTGCCACTGATACCACTGCAATTACCAAATCCACCGCTTCGAAATTCCCTTCAACCGCCGCTGCTGTCGCCGCTGCCTGGCTGCTGCTGGTTCCGAGCGCGCCCGCCGCATATGCTCTGGACGGACCTTCTGCCCCTCCCTCTACGGTCCCGGCAGAAACTACCGCACTCGAGCAACCACAGCGGCAGCAGCCACCGATAATGCAGGTCTTCAGAGGAATGACTGCGCCAGAAGTTGCCGACGCGCCATCGTCGGCGGAAGCGGAAGCGGAAGCGGAGGCGGAGGATGGGGAGTGGCGGTACAGCCGCTTCCTGGCGGAGGTAGACGCGGGGGAGGTGGAATCTGTGGAATTCAGCACCACGGGTTATTCGCTCGTGGCCACCACCAAGGGCGGCGATGAACACAAGGTGTGTGTGCGGGCATCTGGACCGTTGATCCAATTATTCCGCACAATCTCCACTTCCTCGCTCTCCCTTTCCTGTACCGCACGCACACACTTCCACCCCCCGTCCTCGATCTCCTTTCTACCTCCCTAATTCCCCATCCTCCTCACCCCGCTCCTCGCACTCGCACTGCTGCGCACACCGTCTCCGCACCTCTCCCCCTTCCACCCGCCCCTCTCCCCGCGCGCGCTTTTTCCGCGCGTCCCCTCACACAGGTGATAATCCCGACGCTCAAGGGGGTATCCACGGAGCTGGCGGACACGCTAGCTCGCAAGGGTGTGGAGACGAAGATAGACGCGGGGCTGGATCCCAAGGTGGCATTCGCACTCGAGCTCGTCTTCGACACCGTGCTGCCGCCGCAACCTCTCCCTCTCCTCCCCCCTCACCCCTTTCCCCAACTCCTCCCCTTTCCCCTTTCTCCCCCCCCTCTCCCGCCCCTCCCACCTCCTCCCCTATCCCCCACCACCCCTCCCCCGACACACAGGTGATGATCCCGACGCTCAAAGGGGTGTCCACCGAACTCGCAGACACTCTGGCGAGCAAGGGCGTGGAGACGAAGATTGACGCGGGGCTGGACCCCAAGGTGGCGTTCGCACTCGAGCTCGTCTTCGACACCGTGCTGCCGCTCATGATCGCCTTCGGCCTGCCGTTCCTTCTCTTCAACCAGGCGAACCCCTTCGGCCCCAACGGTCCCTTTGGCAGCTTCCTCAGGTGCGGGAAGGGAGAGGGGATGGGAGGGCGATGAGAGGGGTTGAGGGGATTGTTGGGTCAATCTGAACGACACGTGCTAAACCAGTCCAACCCACCCCAACTGCGGATTCAGAAGCTTCTTCAGGTGAGTGGACAGGAGAGGGGAAGGAGGCTGAAGAGTGGGAAGGAAAAGTGAGGAGTGGAGGTGGGTTATGGGTCGATATGAGACTTTCGTTTTCAGCCAACGAGTTCGCTAGGATCTAGTGGACCTTCCAGAAGCTTCCTCAGGTGTGTCGGCGGGAGAGGGGAGAGAGGTTGGGCCAGGACGGGAAGCGTGGGTGTGGGGGGGCTTATGGGTTGAATTATTGGAAGTCACGTCTCGGCTTTGTAATCGCCCCGGGCCAAACGGGCTCTGTTGTAGCTTCCCTAGTTCAGAGGGCGGGAGATGGGAGAGGGGTGAGGAGAGAGGGTGGGGAGAGAGGAGGGAGGCGGGAGAGGGTGGGGGGCAAATGAACGGCCGGGGCGGAAAGGAGTAGAGCCTGCATTGAGAAATCTGTGGGAAAAGCCCAGTGGATAATCGTGACCTCGCTTAAGAAGACATTGAAAAGCAGTTTTCACGAGTTTGGCACGTGTTTACCACGTGTTAAAACTCGTTTCGCTTTGAATAGACCACTATGCCTCTTAACTATTCTACCTCCCAACCGACCTGTCATCGCCTGTCCTTCCCCCCTCTGCCTCTCCTGCCAACCCTCTCCCTGGCTATTCCTCTCATCTCCCTCATCTCATCACTCGTTACTTCGTGCCCCCTTATCTCACTCTCTCCCTCACCCTCATCTGAACCCGTCTCTTCTCTCTCACGCCGTCTCTCCCCCTTTTTCTACCCTCCCCATCCCCTCTCCTTCCCCTCTCCTTCTCCTCTCCTTCCCCTCTCCTTCCCCTCTCCTTCCCCTCTCCTTCCCCTCTCCTTCCCCTCTCCTTCCCCTCCCCATCCCCTCTCCTTCCCCTCTCCTTCCCCTCTCCTTTCCCTCTCCTTCCCCTCTCCTTCCCCTCTCCTTCCCCTCTCCTTTCCCTCTCCTTCCCCTCTCCTTTCCCTCTCCTTCCCCTCTCCTTTCCCCTCTCCTTCCCCTCTCCTTCCCCTCTCCTTCCCCTCTCCTTCCCCTCCCCATCCCCTCCCCATCCCCTCTCCTTCCCCTCTCCTTCCCCTCTCCTTTCCCTCTCCTTCCCCTCTCCTTCCCCTCTCCTTCCCCTCTCCTTCCCCTCTCCTTCCCCTCTCCTTTCCTTCTCCTTCCCCTCTCCTTTCTCTCTCCTTCCCCACCGCCAGCGGCAAGGGCAAGTTCCAGGAGGAGCCGGAGACCACAGTGCGCTTCGATGACGTGGCAGGGGTGGACCAGGCCAAGCTGGAGCTGCAGGTGACGTGGCGGCACAGGGAAAACTCGGGAGGTCGGGGTGTACATAGAAGGGGGGGATGGAGAGAGGGAGGAAAAACCACAAGCAACATATGCAGGGGAGCAGAATGTTTAAACATGTGAACGTCCACACCGTAGTTTAATTCAACCTAGAGACTTCTTGGTTTAAAAGGTAGGAGAAGGGGGAGGATAGAGGGTTGGGCTGTTCTCGCTGTGCTGATTGTCCTCCTCCTCGTCTCTCACTCCTCTCTCCTCTCTCCTCTCTCCTCATCCATATCGGCCTCCCACCTCTTCTTCCTCCATCGTTCCCCAGTCCATATTGACCTACCCCAACCCCCCATTACCACACAGTCTCCACATATCACGAGATTGTAGACTATCACCTCATTCACCTCCCTCATCCCCCCTTCCTCTCCATCCCCCTCTTCCCCACACCAGGAGATGGTCAATTTCCTACACAACCCATCCCAAGTACTGACTCTTCAGGACCTGGGCGCCAGCTTAGGATCTGAAGGGGCTATCCACTGACTCCCCTTCCTCTCCACTTACTCCCAACCATTCCCCCTAACGCTTCCCCCACCAACCCCACAATTCTCCACTCTTCCCGACACCAGGAGATGGTCGACTTCCTGCGCAACCCCTCCCAAGTACATGAACCTGGGCGCCAAGATTCCCTAGATTCTCAACACTATCTGCTTGTTCTCCTCCCTCGTCCCTCCATCCCTCTGCGCCCTCTCTCCCCATTCTCACCACACCAGGAGATGGTTGATTTCCTGCGCAACCCCTCCAAGTACACGGACCTGGGCGCCAAGATTCCCAAAAGCCCACAAGAACCCAAAGAACTGCCTGCTCATTCCCGTCCTTCATCCCCCCTCTCTCCCACCACCCCCCTTCTCACCACACCAGGAGATGGTTGATTTCCTGCGCAACCCCTCCAAGTACACGGACCTGGGCGCCAAGATCCCCAAGGGGTGCCTCCTGGCGGGCCCCCCAGGCTCGGGCAAGACGCTGCTGGCGCGAGCAGTGGCGGGGGAGGCGGGCGTGCCCTTCTTCTCCATCGCTGCCTCCGAGTTCGTCGAGATCTTCGTGGGGCTGGGCGCGTCCCGAGTCCGAGAACTCTTTGAGAAGGTGAGAACGGACAAAATGGGAACAGGGAGAGTGAATGGCAGGTGTTTGCATGGCTTTGCTGAGGGGAAGTGTGCAAGAGAGGGCCATGCATGAGCCTGGGCGGTTTGGTTGTCTCATCTGAGGCGCCTCTCTGAAACAGACTCTGCGGGCAGGGTGTGTGTGCGCAGTGGCGGGGGAGGCGGGCGTGCCCTTCTTCTCCATCGCTGCCTCTGAGTTTGTCGAGATCTTTGTGGGATCCCCATTTCTGATGGGCGTTTCCCGAGTTCGAGAGTTGTTTGACAAGGTGGGCATGGAATGGGGAGAGCATGAAATGGTGTAGAAGGGGAAACGAGAATATGTTTTGCAGTTTGTGGGTCTTGGTGGGGCTTTGATTATTTTGTTTTGGTGGGACTAGGCGCATCCAGAGGAGGGAGGAACGGGGAGTGTGTGAGAGGTCCTCTGTGGGAAGTGGGAAAGGTCGAGCTGCACTCTATTTGAAAGAGTTTATTGAGAAGGTGGGGAAAGGATGGACATAAATATCTGACGCCTACAACCAACCCACCATAACCAACACCCTCCATACGTGCTTAGCACGCCTCGCCTCCGATACTCAAACCCTTCAACTCCTTGCCCATTGCTCATCCCCTCCCACTCCTCTCCCCCTCCACTAGGCGTAATTCAAGGGCCCTGTGCGTCATTTTCAAAAACAAACTGGGAGATTGTGAGACAACCCCTCAACTCCTCCCCTTCCCTTTCCACCCCACGCAACCCTTCTCCGCGCCGCCTCTGGCGAAATCCAAGGCCTCCATGGCATCATCTTCATAGATGAGCTGGACGTGGCGGGACGACCTCTCCTCACCATTGATCCTCCTTTCCACCCCACTCAATCCCTTCTCCCCCAACCCCACCAGGCCAAGTCCAAGGCCCCCTGCATCATCTTCATAGACGAGCTCGATGGGGTGGGGCGACCCCTCCCCACCGTTGCTCGTCCCCTTCATCTCCCGCCCTTCTGCTCTCCCCCACCTTCCCCACCAAGCCAAGTCCAAGCCCCCCTGCATCATCTTCATAGACAAGCTCGACGCGGTGGGATGTCCTCTCCTCGCCTTGCCTTAAACCCCTCCCCTCTCCATTCCTCCGCACCCAACCCCACTCAAACCCCTCCACCAGGCCAAGTCCAAGGCGCCCTGCATCATCTTCATAGACGAGCTGGACGCGGTGGGGCGGCAGCGGGGGGGCGGCATGGGCGGTGGCAACGACGAGAGGGAGCAGACGATCAACCAGCTGCTGACGGAGATGGACGGCTTTCAGGGCAACACGGGCGTCATTGTGCTCGGCGCTACCAACCGCCCTGACGTGCTCGATGCTGCGCTGACCAGGCCTGGGAGGTTCGACCGGCAGGTGGTTGTGGACCGGCCGGACGTGAAGGGCCGAGTAAAGATTCTGGAGGTGAGAAAGGGAGGAGGGAGGACCCTTTCCGGTTTACGTCGCTTTGACTTGGCCTGTCTTGGATGGTCTTGGCTTTCGTTTGGATGGTGGAGGCCTGGTGCCGTAGGTGTTGGGTAAAGAGGAGAAACAATTGCTGCAAATATCCTGATCTCGGCAGAGTCGCACTGATAACAAACAGGAGCAGGTTAGAACCTGAGGGCATGTGGGTTGATTTTTCAGGCGCCTGAGCGCCTCTAACGGACATGGCACATGGGTACAATTGCGGCCTAAGTTTTGAAGTCCAAGGAAGCTCAAAACTGGCCAATTGGACGCCCGAGTGTCATCCTGGTCTGGAAATGGATGGCAGGACAAAGTAGAGAGCTCCAAGGCAGCACCTCAGAACCAGGACAAAGCAGTACCAACCGGTACACAAACTCAACTCCCCTCCCGCCCCTCTTCCCTCCCCACCCATACTCCCTCCTCTTCTCCTCTTCCTCCCCTCTTTCCGCCCCCCCCCACTCTCCAGGTGCATTTCCGGGGCAAGCGTCTGGACGCAAGCGTGGACCTCGAAAAAGTGGCCCGCCACACGCCCGGGTTCACCGGAGCCGACCTGCAGAACCTCATGAATGAGGCAGCCATCGCAGCAGCGCGCAAGGAACTCCCAGCAATCACCTCCGTCGAGCTCTCAGACGCCCTCGAGCGCATCACGGGGGAAAACCCGCACGTTAACCACCACACGGACGAAAATCCTCACCCGCCCCTCTTCTCCCCACTCCTCCGTCCACCCACCGCCCCTCTCCCCCCCCTTTTCCAGGTGCATTCCCGGGGCAAGCGTCTGGACGCAAGTGTCGACCTCGAAAAAGTGGCCCGCCGCACGCCGGGCTTCACGGGTGCCGACCTGCAGAACCTCATGAACGAGGCAGCCATCGCAGCAGCGCGCAAAGACATCCCCGCAATCACGGCAGAGGAAATCTCCGACGCTCTCGAGCGCATCACCATCGGCGCCGAGCGGCGCGGTACTGTTGTCTCCCTGGAGAAGCAGCGCCTCGTGGCGTACCACGAAGCCGGGCACGCACTTGTGGCTTCTCTCCTCTCCGCTTTTGACGATCCCGTGGAGAAAGTCACGATTGTGCCGCGGGGAGGAGCGGGGGGGTTGACGTTTTTTGCGCCGAGCGAGGAGAGGTTGGAGAGTGGGCTGTATAGCCGCGCGTATTTGGAGGCTCAGTTGGCGGTGGCGCTAGGGGGGAGAGTGGCGGAGGAGATTATCTTTGGGGAGGAGAGGGTGACGACTGGGGCGAGTAACGACCTGCAGAAGGTGCGTGGGTCTGTGCTCTCCTCCGTGTGTTGCTGTGTCTGCTCCTGCTGCTGCTGCTGCTGCTCCTGCTCCTGCTGCTGCTCCTGCTCCTGCTCCTGCTCCTGCTCCTGCTCCTGCTCCTGCTCCTGCTCCTGCTGCTGCTCCTGCTGCTGCTCCTGCTCCTGCTCCTGCTCCTGCTCCTGCTCCTGCTCCTGCTCCTGCTCCTGCTCCTGCTCCTGCTCCTGCTCCTGCTCCTGCTGCTCCTGCTCCTGCTCCTGCTCCTGCTCCTGCTCCTGCTCCTGCTGCTGCTCCTGCTGCCTGCTCCTGCTCTGCTCCTGCTCCTGCTCCTGCTCCTGCTCCTGCTCCTGCTCCTGCTCCTGCTCCTGCTCCTGCTCCTGCTCCTGCTGCTGCTCCTGCTCCTGCTCCTGCTCCTGCTCCTGCTGCTGCTCCTGCTGCTGCTCCTGCTCCTGCTGCTGCTCCTGCTCCTGCTCCTGCTCCTGCTCCTGCTCCTGCTCCTGCTCCTGCTCCTGCTCCTGCTCCTGCTCCTGCTCCTGCTCCTGCTCCTGCTCCTGCTCCTGCTCCTGCTCCTGCTCCTGCTCCTGCTCCTGCTCCTGCTCCTGCTCCTGCTCCTGCTCCTGCTCCTGCTCCTCCAACTCCTTCTGAATTTTCTATTCCTCCCAACTATCACTCCCATCACTCTCAACTATCTACTCTCCCAATGTGGCCCATGTCTCTTTTCACCTTCACCACTCCTTCCCTCTTCTCCTTTCTCCTCGTCTCTCCACCCTCATCCGCACCTTCGTCTCGTTCACCCCTTTTGCACTTCCCCAGGTCACAAGCACAGCTCGCAGGATGGTGGAGCAGTGGGGATTCAGCCACAGGTGGCGCTGGTATCCAGTCGCGGCAACAATCTCTTTTTTCCTCCCCCTTCCTCCCGCCTTTACCCCCCAGGTCACAAGCACAGCTCGCAGGATGGTGGAGCAGTGGGGATTCAGCCCTGCAGTGGGACAGGTGGCGCTGGTGTCCAGTCGCGGCCGCAACTTTCTGGGCGGCGGGGGCGGCGCGGCCAGCGAGGCGGAGTGTTCGCAACAGACAAAGCTGGTGGTGGACGGCGAGGTTCGGCGGCTAGTGGACACGGCGTATAGGAAAGCTAAGAGTGCTCTGGAGGACAACATTGGGCTGCTTCACAGGTGGGTGGGTGGGTGGGTGGGTGTGTGGAGTGTGTGTGAGTGTGTGGTTGACTGCGTGTGTGTGCGGGTGTGTCCAATCTCATACCCCTATCCACGCTCGCAGAAGCTTCAACTGTGAATTGGTAGAGGTGTATCCAAGGGAAAAAAGGGCATCAGTGGAAAGAACCTGTTGCAATGCCTGAGATCCCCCAATCGACATCTGGCGTGCCGTAAAATTACGTTGTCCCCCTTCGCCCTCCCGCTGTGCCTCTTGCTTGCAGAGTTGTGGAGGTGCTTTTGGAGAAGGAGAGCATCAATGGGGAGGAGCTCCAAGCTCTCATTCTCGAGTCCAAGGCCAGCCTCTACACCTGAGCAAGTGCTACAGTCATGACACAATACAACACAAGGCAATCATTCATTGCTAGCTTCAGCTACGGACTCAGAGCGGTTGCTGTACATGCATACAGTTAACTGCACTATGCGGAATCTGTCTCATTTTGTAGCTACCCCCTCTCTCTAGCAGTCGGTTCACTCTTGGCTCCGCCTCTTCTGCAATAAATGCAAAACAGAGCCTAATTTTGTTACGAAAGTGAATGTTTATTCAACTGATGAGAATTGGAAACTTGGTTCTGCTGGCATGGTGAAACAGCATTGTCATTGTGAACTACCGTATCACCATGTCGATACCGAGCTCTTCAGATGTTGTGTCAAAGCGTTGAGAGGCACAAGTCTAATGAACCTCCGCAAGAGTGTATCAGGGCATGCTAGTGGATGCAGGTTGACACCTTTCTGATACATTCAATCTGTGATTTGTTAAAGCCCGAGTACAGCATGGTGATTTTCAAGTTCAAGATTCTTGAACTTGAAGTCGCCAATAACAGGGTTACCCTACTTGTTTTGAGAAAATTCTCGCGACCCCAGGCAATCGTCCTGCGACAACGGAACCCGAGTGCCCAAAACCAGAACTGACGCGATGATCGCCAACCATTTGTACTATTCACCACTCACATAACTTGCTTACCAAGTAGTACTCATAGGCTAGGAGGCTCCAAGGCAAAAACTAGCGCTAGTTGGCAAAAGCGAGTCGTTGATAGGTGTTTTTTTTTGTGCGGAAGGAAATATAAGTCCACCTCAACCATCTTAGTCAGTGCACGCTCTAATCTCTCCCTCACGTCACCAGTCTCGTGTTACAACCCGTACACCCACGGCACTTACGTTAGTAAACGAGATTCGCGTTACTCGAGTCTTGCATTCAAGCTCGCGTCGCACACGCAGGATCTTGTCACACTTGCTGCCATTCAGCCTCGTGTCACGATCGTACCGTTTTAGGCACGGGTCGCTCACGCGAATGCCGTACTGGTTCGCGTAACGCACTCAGCCGTTAGTCGCACATGTTCCTCCTCGTCGGCCGCTCTTGCCCACGTCAGACCGCTTTCCTCGTCGCCCGCGCTTTCCCTCATTACCCTCCCCGACCCTCTGGTCGCATATGTTCCCGTAGTTGCCCACGCTCTCCCACGTTAACCACACATCCCCTCGTCGCAATTGCCAGTAGTAAACATACCGCGCTTCAGATCGTCACCCGCGCTCCCCTCATCACCCTCGTCGACCCACACCGATCCTCGCCGCCCTCACCTCCCTTGGTCACCGACATTCCCTCTCGTCGCTCGCGCTTCCCCTCATCACCCGTGCCGACCCTCGCCGCCCTCGCCTCCCCTCGTCGCCCGCGCGTCCCGTCGTCGGGCTTGCCTCCCAGTCACTCGCGCCTCCCCTCGTCATCCGCGTTTCCATCCGCTCTTCCCCTCTCCCCATCTCACCATCTCCAGCCCATCCTTCCTCCCTCATTCCTTCCGAAGGGGTGGGACAGATGGGGAGGAACAGATGGGGAGGAACAGATGGGGAGAAACAGAGGTGGTCGCTTCCGCCACCACAATCGAACAGCGTTTTGATTCCCTCTCTGCTCCCCACCATCCTCCCCCCAGCTCTCTCCCCGGCATCTGCCCCCGTTCCCCCCATCCTCTTCCCTGTTTCCCCGTATCCCCTGCCGTGCTTCCCCCCATCCCCTTCCCTGCTTCCCCCCATCCCCTTCCCTGCTTCCCCCCATCCCCTTCCCTGCTTCCCCCCATCCCCTTCCCTGCTTCCCCCCTTCCCTTTCCCTGCTTCACCCCATCCCCTCCCCTGCTTCCCCCCATCCCGTCCCGTGCTTCCCCCCATCCCCTTCCCTGCTTCCCCCCATCCCCTTCCCTGCTTCCCCCCATCCCCTTCCCTGCTTCCCCCCATCCCCTTCCCTGCTTCCCCCCATCCCCTTCCCTGCTTCCCCTCATCCCCTTCCCTGCTTCCCCTCGTCCCCTCCCCTGCTTTCCCCCATCCCCTTCCCTGCTTCCCCCCATCCCCTTCCCTGCTTCCCCCCATCCCCTGCCCTGCTTCCCCCCATCCCCTTCCCTACTTTCCCCCATCCCCTGCCCTGCTTCCCCCCATCCCCCTCCCTGCTTCCCCCCATCCCCTTCCCTGCTTCCCCCCTTCCCTTTCCCTGCTTCACCCCATCCCCTCCCCTGCTTCCCCCCATCCCGTCCCGTGCTTCCCCCCATCCCCTTCCCTGCTTCCCCCCATCCCCTTCCCTGCTTCCCCCCATCCCCTTCCCTGCTTCCCCTCATCCCCTTCCCTGCTTCCCCTCGTCCCCTCCCCTGCTTTCCCCCATCCCCTTCCCTGCTTCCCCCCATCCCCTTCCCTGCTTCCCCCCATCCCCTGCCCTGCTTCCCCCCATCCCCTTCCCTACTTTCCCCCATCCCCTGCCCTGCTTCCCCCCATCCCCCTCCCTGCTTCCCCCCATCCCCTTCCCTGCTTCCCCCCTTCCCTTTCCCTGCTTCACCCCATCCCCTCCCCTGCTTCCCCCCATCCCGTCCCGTGCTTCCCCCCATCCCCTTCCCTGCTTCCCCCCATCCCCTTCCCTGCTTCCCCCCATCCCCTTCCCTGCTTCCCCCCATCCCCTTCCCTGCTTCCCCCCTTCCCTTTCCCTGCTTCACCCCATCCCCTCCCCTGCTTCCCCCCATCCCGTCCCGTGCTTCCCCCCATCCCCTTCCCTGCTTCCCCCATCCCCTTTCCTGCTTCCCCCCATCCCCTTCCCTGCTTCCCCTCATCCCCTTCCCTGCTTCCCCTCGTCCCTTCCCCTGCTTCCCCCCATCCCCTTCCCTGCTTCCCCCCATCCCCTTCCCTCCTTCCCCCCCTGCTGCCTCCCATCACTCTCATTCTCCTTCCTCCCGCACTCACACCTCTCAGTCCTCTCGCACTCTCTCTCTCCGTCCTCTCGCACTCGCACTCTCCTCCCCACCACCCTCAGCCCTCCTTCCCCTCACACCCACCCATGTTCCCACCTGCCCTCCCCATCCCTGCCTTTCCCTCCCTGCCCTGCCCTTCCCTTCTCCATCCCTTCTCAAACCTTCCCTTTCATGTCATGCCCTCACCTTCCCCCTCATCTTCCGCCCTCCAGTTACCATGCATGTGCACCCATCACTGTCTCCCCATACCGGTACATGCTTTCATCATGTGCGCTTGCTTGTGTTCCCCTGCAGTTGTTCCCTTGGCACCTCACACCACTTCCCCCATGTTCCATCACACAATTCTTTCTGCCTACTCCACTCTCCAAATTTTCAGTGGTGAAGCAGAGGAGCAAGCTGAGGCGCAGCTAGAGCTAGTCCATGCTTTACGCCGTACCACCACCTGTTTCTTGTGTGTTGTATGCAAGCATGATACTGTATTACTGTTGGAGATATCCATTTCAAAAGCGCAATATGTTTCTGCAGTGCAATATATTCTTCCAAGATGCATGGGCAAGAGTGTCAGAAGGGTAGATAGAGGCATGATTCTACTTTTGATTGTACCCTTCTCAGGGACTTGAAAAAAACATGAGGGATGGGATGATGGGCTTCAGCGAGTTGCAGTGCCAGAAAATCTTCATTGGTGTCACTTCACTACCCAGGGAGAGGGAGGGACAGGCCCTCAGATTGGTTTGAGGGTATGCTGATGGATCAGCGTGCCCCGGTCGCCCAGGTGTCCAAATCAGCGTTCATGGTTTTCTTTATACTGATTTTGCCACTGTAAAAGTTATAAGTAAACTGAACCATCAGTGTAAAAAAGAAATACAAAGTTGAATTTCCCGTTCAAAATTTGTCGCTGTGAGAGCTCCTTCCAGCGATGCAGAACACGTCGGCACGCGATCTGTACAGCGCATGCATCGTTAAGTGTGTGAGTGAGGTCTCGCGAATCCCGGGCCAGGTACAGCCTAGTGGGGTCTCGTGAATCCCGGGCCAGGTACAGACTGTACACACGCGTACCACCCCGAATCGGTCTAGTTCGTTTCAGTGTGACTCACGACACTACACTGATTCGTCAGTGCTACTTGTACAGCAACACGGAAAATGGTCAGTGTGGCAAGGTATGTTATACTGAAATTTCAGTGCAAATTTGAAGCATATGCTGAATTTTCAGGGAAAACGAAAATCTGAGCTACAAAATCAGCGTAATCAGCGTGTTTTACGCTGATATCTGAGGGCCTGGGGAGGGAATACGAGGGATGGGGAGGGGGAACAAGACTAAAGTCAAACAGGGGAGATAGGGAAGAGGGGGGAGAGGAAAGCAGGGCTGAGAGGGAAAGACATAAGTACCGTAAAAAAAGGGAGGATAGGGAAGAGGGGAGATAAGAAGAGGGGGAGAGGGAAAGTGTGAGATAGGAAGATGAAACGAGGTGAAGAAGAGGGGGAAACGAGGGGAAGCAGGGGGGGAAACGAGGGACAGCAAGGGGGGAAACGAGGGGAAGCAGGGGGGGAAACAAGGGAAAGCAAGGGGGGAAACGAGGGGAAGCAGGGGGGGAAACCAGGGAAAGCAAGGGAGGGAAATGAGGGGCCAGCAGTGGGGAAAATGAGGGGAAGCGGGGGGGGTGGGGGGAGGGAAATGAGGGGAAGCTGGGGGGAAAATAAGGGAAGCAGGAGGGTACAAACAGAGATAGCAAGGAGGGAAATGAGGTGAAGCAGGGAGGGAAATGAGGTGAAGCAGTGAGGGAAATGAGGTGAAGCAGTGAGGGAAATGAGGTGAAGCAGGGAGGGAAATGAGGTGAAGCAGTGAGGGGAATGAGGTGAAGCAGGGAGGGAAATGAGGTGAAGCAGTGAGGGAAATGAGGTGAAGCAGGGAGGGAAATGAGGTGAAGCAGTGAGGGAAATGAGGTGAAGCAGGGAGGGAAATGAGGTGAAGCAGGGAGGGAAATGAGGTGAAGCAGGGAGGGAAATGAGGTGAAGCAGTGAGGGAAATGAGGTGAAGCAGGGAGCGAAATAAGGTGAAGCCGTGAGGGAAATGAGGTGAATCAGTGAGGGAAATGAGGTGAAGCAGTGAGGGAAATGAGGTGAAGCAGTGAGGGAAATGAGGTGAATCAGTGAGGGAAATGAGGTGAAGCAGTGAGGGAAATGAGGTGAAGCAGTGAGGGAAATGAGGTGAAGCAGTGAGGGAAATGAGGTGAAGCAGTGAGGGAAATGAGGTGAAGCAGGGAGGGAAATGCGGTGAAGCAGGGAGGGAAATGAGGTGAAGCAGGGAGGGAAATGCGGTGAAGCAGGGAGGGAAATGAGGTGAAGCAGTGAGGGAAATGAGGTGAAGCAGTGAGGGAAATGAGGTGAAGCAGTGAGGGAAATGAGGTGAAGCAGTGAGGGAAATGAGGTGAAGCAGTGAGGGAAATGAGGTGAAGCAGGGAGGGAAATGAGGTGAAGCAGTGAGGGGAATGAGGTGAAGCAGGGAGGGAAATGAGGTGAAGCAGTGAGGGAAATGAGGTGAAGCAGGGAGGGAAATGAGGTGAAGCAGTGAGGGAAATGAGGTGAAGCAGGGAGGGAAATGAGGTGAAGCAGGGAGGGAAATGAGGTGAAGCAGGGAGGGAAATGAGGTGAAGCAGTGAGGGAAATGAGGTGAAGCAGGGAGCGAAATAAGGTGAAGCCGTGAGGGAAATGAGGTGAATCAGTGAGGGAAATGAGGTGAAGCAGTGAGGGAAATGAGGTGAAGCAGTGAGGGAAATGAGGTGAATCAGTGAGGGAAATGAGGTGAAGCAGTGAGGGAAATGAGGTGAAGCAGTGAGGGAAATGAGGTGAAGCAGTGAGGGAAATGAGGTGAAGCAGTGAGGGAAATGAGGTGAAGCAGGGAGGGAAATGCGGTGAAGCAGGGAGGGAAATGAGGTGAAGCAGTGAGGGAAATGAGGTGAAGCAGGGAGGGAAATGAGGTGAAGCAGGGAGGGAAATGAGGTGAAGCAGGGAGGGAAATGAGGTGAAGCAGTGAGGGAAATGAGGTGAAGCAGTGAGGGAAATGAGGTGAAGCAGTGAGGGAAATGAGGTGAAGCAGTGAGGGAAATGAGGTGAAGCAGGGAGGGAAATGCGGTGAAGCAGGGAGGGAAATGAGGTGAAGCAGTGAGGGAAATGAGGTGAAGCTGGGAGGGAAATGAGGTGAAGCAGTGAGGGAAATGAGGTGAAGCAGTGAGGGAAATGAGGTGAAGCAGTGAGGGAAATGAGGTGAAGCAGTGAGGGAAATGAGGTGAAGCAGGGAGGGAAATGAGGTGAAGCAGTGAGGGAAATGAGGTGAATCAGTGAGGGAAATGCGGTGAAGCAGTGAGGGAAATGAGGTGAAGCAGGGAGGGAAATGAGGTGAAGCAGGGAGGGAAATGAGGTGAAGCAGGGAGGGAAATGAGGTGAAGCAGTGAGGGAAGTGAGGTGAAGCAGGGAGGGAAATGCGGTGAAGCAGTGAGGGAAATGAGGTGAAGCAGTGAGGGAAATGAGGTGAAGCAGTGAGGGAAATGAGGTGAAGCAGTGAGGGAAATGAGGTGAAGCAGTGAGGGAAATGAGGTGAAGCAGTGAGGGAAATGAGGTGAAGCAGTGAGGGAAATGAGGTGAAGCAGGGAGGGAAATGCGGTGAAGCAGGGAGGGAAATGAGGTGAAGCAGTGAGGGAAATGAGGTGAAGCAGGGAGGGAAATGAGGTGAAGCAGTGAGGGAAATGAGGTGAAGCAGTGAGGGAAATGAGGTGAAGCAGTGAGGGAAATGAGGTGAAGCAGTGAGGGAAATGAGGTGAAGCAGGGAGGGAAATGAGGTGAAGCAGTGAGGGAAATGAGGTGAAGCAGTGAGGGAAATGAGGTGAAGCAGTGAGGGAAATGAGGTGAAGCAGTGAGGGAAATGAGGTGAAGCAGGGAGGGAAATGAGGTGAAGCAGTGAGGGAAATGTGGTGAAGCAGTGAGGGAAATGAGGTGAAGCAGGGAGGGAAATGAGGTGAAGCAGGGAGGGAAATGAGGTGAAGCAGGGAGGGAAATGAGGTGAAGCAGTGAGGGAAATGAGGTGAAGAAATGCGGTGAAGCAGTGAGGGAAATGAGGTGAAGCAGTGAGGGAAATGAGGTGAAGCAGTGAGGGAAATGAGGTGAAGCAGTGAGGGAAATGAGGTGAAGCAGGGAGGGAAATGAGGTGAAGCAGTGAGGGAAATGAGGTGAAGCAGGGAGGGAAATGAGGTGAAGCAGGGAGGGAAATGCGGTGAAGCAGGGAGGGAAATGAGGTGAAGCAGTGAGGGAAATGAGGTGAAGCAGGGAGGGAAATGAGGTGAAGCAGTGAGGAAAATGAGGTGAAGCAGTGAGGGAAATGAGGTGAAGCAGTGAGGGAAATGAGGTGAAGCAGTGAGGGAAATGAGGTGAAGCAGGGAGGGAAATGCGGTGAAGCAGGGAGGGAAATGAGGTGAAGGTGAAGAAGGGAGGGAAATGAGGTGAAGCAGTGAGGGAAATGAGGTGAAGCAGTGAGGGAAATGAGGTGAAGCAGGGAGGGAAATGAGGTGAAGCAGGGAGGGAAATGAGGTGAAGCAGTGAGGGAAATGAGGTGAAGCAGGGAGGGAAATGAGGTGAAGCAGTGAGGGAAATGAGGTGAATCAGTGAGGGAAATGATGTGAAGCAGTGAGGGAGGTGAGGTGAAGCAGTGAGGGAAATGAGGTGAAGCAGGGAGGGAAATGAGGTGAAGCAGTGAGGGAAATGAGGTGAAGCAGGGAGGGAAATGAGGTGAAGCAGTGAGGGAAATGAGGTGAAGCAGGGAGGGAAATGAGGTGAAGCAGTGAGGGAAATGAGGTGAAGCAGGGAGGGAAATGCGGTGAAGCAGGGATGAGGGGGAGAAAGGGTGGGCCATGGGCGTAGAGCATAGGGCGCAGAGCATGGGGCGCAGAGCATAGGGCGCAGAGCATGGGGAACAGAGCATAGGGCGCAGAGCATGGGGCGCAGTGCATAGGGCGCCGAGCATAGGGCGCAGTGCATAGGGCGCAGAGAATAGGGCGCAGAGCGCAGGGCTCATAGAGCAGAGCGCAGGGGGCAGAACGCAGGGGGCGGAGGGGGCAGAGCGCAGAGTGCAGGGGCGCGGAGCACGTGTACCTGTCCTGGCGTGGTGGTGCCTCGTTCTAGCGCCCTCTCCACGCTGCTATTCGAATAGAATAGTGCGTGCGCTGGACGTTTGTGAGTTGACGCGCTGCTAGACGACCAGTGGCGCGAGCTGCGCGTAAACCGGTGAGGGGGATGGTCGTCTCTGTATTTCGCGCGCTGCTACCCGCCCGTGGGCGCCCGGTGGCTGACATAGTAGAATTGCGTAACCCTAAGGGTATGCGTATTGTGGACGCCCCCAGCGTGGCATTGCCCTAAGTAATAGGCACTTTCGAGCCCAATATACGTTCGCGATGCCCCGAAACCGTCGACCTACGTGCTGCCAGAGGCAATCGATGTGCCAGAGGCAATCGATGTGCCAGAGGCAATCGATGTGCCAGAGGCCATATCGCGCTGTGTCGCGCTCTTCTCAACGCTCCTTCCTGCGACTCAGCATGTACGTTTTCTGGCATGTCACCTTCGTTTGCACGTTTCCTTGTTGTTAGCTCCTGCGGTTATTTCACACGAAGTAGTTAGCTTGATTGATCGTGGTGTTCTTTCTCCTCACTCGTGTTGGTGCTTCCCGTTTTCGTTTTTGCTAGTAGTCGCATTGTGCGTGGACCTTCTCCACTACTTGAACCTGATTGGCTGAAGAACAATCCTTGCGACACTCCTTCCAGTCGCTCCACAGTGCTTGCAAATCCGTCAAAGCTGCACAGTGTCGTTCACCATCGCTTCACGTTTGGCGAGACTCCTTTCCCCCTCGTCAATCGATATTTTTCTCGCTACACTGACTTTGTCGAAATTCTTGTTTTCAAGGTTTCGCCAACACTATTTCAAACCCACATAACTTGATAAATTACCATGCTGACTCCGGGCTGAGTCTGTGAACCAGGGGAATCCTGTGCCAGATCGGCCTAGCGCGGACCGGAGCGAGATGGACCCTGTGCAGGTACGGTACTCTGTTGCCAATTAATTCAGATAATAATCTGAACTGATCAAGAACAATCAGCATCCTGAAGTCTCATTGAAGGTGAAATCTTTAGCACAAGTGCTCTGATGTGTACCAGTTTCGTCAAATGGCTGAATGCCTCATCCTTGAAGCTCCAACTTTAAATGACCTTTCCCCACACACCTCCTTTCCTCCCTACCTTCTCTGCTGGATCCCACCTCCGGCGCCTTCATCCACACACACTTTTTTTAGCATCCTTGCCTTCTCTGCCAGAATTCACCTGCTCCGCCTTCCCACTCGTCCTTCTAACCACATACACTCTCCTTCCACACACATTCACCTCTCCCCCTTCCTGGTCCAGCCCACTCCCACACACATCCACACTCCTCAATGCTTGAGCTCCTTCCAGCGAATTCGGTAAAGATTTTAGCGCCACACACTCCCGTAACTGGAGCACTTCTAAACGAAGCATCTGACCCATGTGAGGAGGGAGGGAGTGCAGTTGCTTGCAGAAGCTGAAGGAGGCCACTCGGAGCAAAGGGAGAGACGGGAAGGAGAAGGGCAGATGCGTAAAAGAATCACACCGGGAGATTTCGAGTTGTGTTAATCGGGGTAGGGAACCGAAGCCGTATGGGAGAGTGGAAAATGTTGGGCAGTCTGTGATTGTGAGGTGGACGAGGGATGCCAGAGCGGAGGAGGAGTCGGGCAGATGGTGAAATTTTCCACAGCTCTCAATGGAGAGATTCTCGAGGGATATCAATGAGCCGACATTCGCAGGCAGGGAGGTGAGGTCATAGTATCTGATTATTTTTAGCGTGTGGAGGCGATAGAACTGGCACAAGGCGGGCGGCAGAGAGGAAATATTCGATCCGCAAATCAGGGTTGCTTCTTCAAGCGAGGGCAAGCCGCAAAGGGGGTCCAGAAACGAAGGGCTCTTTGTCCCCTCTATAGACAGCTTCTTTAGCGCTTCAAGGAGGCCGAAACGGGTTGGCAGTGTCTTCATGTGATAGCAGCACTCAATCGTCAGCTCCTCTAAGCGAGTCAGCTTGAAGATCCTAGCAGGCAGCTGCTTCAAATGGTCACACTTGATATGAAGCTTTTTCAGGGAAGGTAACTTGCAGACAGATTGCGGGACCTTCATTATCCAGAAGCATCCTTTCAACTCTAATATTTCCAGGTTCCCCAAGCGGCCTATATTCTCCGGGAGGTCGATACGGGCTATAAACTCGCCGGCATACTTGTAATCCACGCGTAGCGTACGAAGCAAGCTTAGTTTCGAGATGTCGGGTTTCTCAAAGCGAGGAAGATCTACGTTGGTTAGATCCAGGTACGTTAGCGACGTGAGGTGCTCGACGGAGGCGTCGAGAGAAAGGCAAGGTTGATCGTGGCGTCCGCGGCAAGATTCGCGGGGAAAGTACAGCGTCAGCGATTCCAGGGTCGACGCGAGGAACGCGAGGGAGGGAGGGAAGTACTTGAACCGACCGGAAAGCGAAAGCGAGCGCAGATTGCGCAAGCGGCCGAGGGATGCAGGCAGGAGAGTGCATTCATCTAGGTTCGAGACTGTGAGGTGCGTGAGCCATTCGAGGGAGCATAGCCCCGCGGATATGAACCTTCGCTCCGCGACTGGAAAAGGGCCCGTGCGCTGCCACTCGTGTACGCTAATGTCGAGATGACGCAGGGAACGGCCGAGGGGCGGGTATCTCACGCCGCGAGCAGCTATGGCGGCGGCAGCTTTCTCTGCGGCAGGGTAGAAATAGCCGTCCCTCTCATAATCCCAATCCCAATGCGTGTCGCCTTCTTCTTTCCACTTGACGTAACCCAGCTTTACGAAAGTCAGCGACGGCAGCGCAAACAATCCCACGGGGAACGACGCGTTTCCGTCTGCGTACGTCACCTCGAGCCGCTCGAGCGATGTCAGATGGCTTAGCGCCTCGAGTGACCCGCAGAATTTCAGCGACTCAATGGTCACGTGGCGCAGCCGAGACGCGAAGATGAGATCGAATCGGGGACGCGCAAGCACCGGATACCGAAGGATGGTGAGAGCCGTTAGAGACTCGATGCGCGAGGCTGGGAGAGAATGTATATTGGGACACGAGTCCAACGTAACTTCCTCCAGTTTCGTCCATTCTTCGCACGCGTCTGGTAACCTCCCGTCGAAGTTTCGCAGCTCCAGTCGTCGCATATTCTGCAGCGCGCCCATGCACGTTGAGAAACGATGCACCTTCCAGGAGCCGTTGATTTGGAGGGAAGTGAGGGATGAAAGGTCGCCGAACGACTCGGGCAACGGCCGCAATTCCGTGCAATCCGAGAACGAGAGCTGCGCCAATGATCTCAGCTCACCAAAAGCTTCGGGTAGTTGCGAAAGAAGCGGGCAGCTTAAATGGAGCTCTTGGAGCGCAGACAGCTGGCATATCTCGTCGGGCAGCAAGCAAAAAAACTTGGAGTGCAGCCGGAGCACGCGCAGCGAGGTCAAGGACGCGATGCAACGTGGAAGCTTCGCCATCTGGCCGAGGCAGTTCGAGAGAGTCAGCTCCTGTAACCGCGGCACCGCCAAGCGAAAAAACTCCTCTAGAGACTGAAGACCTATTTGGAAGTGAGGCAATCCCTCGAAGCGCGGCTCGTGCAGCCTCAGTCGGACGAGTCGCGAGCAGCTGTAGATTAAGGAGGAAAGAAACGCGTCATCGTAAAAATCGAGGGCGCGTTCGTCGAGGGAAACGGAAGTGATGCTTGGAGCGAGGGAAAGGTTGCGGAAGAGCGAAGGAGCGGAAAGCGCCAGCGCAAGCTTCTTATCCGGCGCTGCAGTGACCTTCGCTAGTGGTGGTTTGTGGCCGACGCGAATGGCAGTCGCTGTTCCTAGCCATCGTTTACACGTTAGTGCGAGTTCACTAAATGGCGTGCTGATGGCGGGCTCGCTACCGCTGCCGCTGCCGTCGCCACTGCAGCCACTGGTGCTGCCATCGAATGCGGCGCCAGCGCCAGTTGTAGCGAGCGAGAGGATTTTTCCGAGGAGCTCGTCTGGTAGGTTATTAAAGAGCGCGTCTCGTGCGCGCTGAGTTGGAGGAGCCATATGCTCCATTCGGGTAGTGAGGTCAGTTTTGCTGAGACTTTCCGTTGTGCAGGAGGTAACTGGGAATACGATAATGGGCGAATGACCGTGATGTTGCTACATGACGTCTGATGTTGGTGCGAACGAAGCACAGCAGCACACAGCCGTGCACTTCCACCAATTGAAGTTGCCTGGCCTCCCCTCCCCGATTCAAATATCCTCGGCGTTGTCAGTCTGCCCATCTTGCGCGGCTCGTCACAAGGATCTCACTAGACCTTTTGCCGCCTTGTCAGGTCAATTCAACCGTTGGGCGAAGGTCGCCCAAGGGTCAAGATCCCTTACAGGCGGATCCCAGCTATGAATATTGTAAGTGAAACATCATTTCTTGGAACACATACCTGAAAAAACAAGACCACACTTGACAAAGCTACCGTACTTCCACCTGCTCGGGATTTCTAACAATACTCTGTAAACTCAATTTCCACACGTATAGCAGTACACTTCTAGTACACAGCTCCAGCAGCACCCTCGGCAAATACTGTATAGGAACAATGGTGCGTGCCAGCTAGCTAGACAAATAATGCTGGAGAGGGAGAGTATGTGACGCTCTGTCCCCGGATGGATCCTGGTTTTCTCTGCTGCTCTTGAGAATGTTCAGAAGGGACTGTCAGTCAGCACACGTCAGCACTCGTCATAGTAAAATGCAGCTGGATATACCCTGCCAGATGTCGCAGGATGTAGATGACTCACTTTCCCTTGGGGGCCACTACAACAGCTATGCAGGTTATACATGCCCATCTTTTCACTGAAGTTTACAATGGCCAATCTTAACTTCTTAGCAAAACCTTCAGCTCAATGGTTCTGATGTACCAGAATTGACAAGGTACGGCAAAAAAAAAGTGAAATGGCTGAACCACCCTATCCTTTTTAAACTACCTTCCCTTCCTGCCTACACCTTTCAGCTCCATGCCTTATAAGAACTCACCTGCACCGCCTACCTAATCTTCCACCCAGCCACATGCACTCTCTTTCTGCACACCTCCACCTCTCCTCGTTCCAAGTCCAAAAAAACCCGCACACATCCACATTCGTCAATGACTTGGATTCTTTCAACGATTTCGGTAGAGCTTTTAGCGCCCCACACTGCCGTACCTGCAGTACCTCTAAACGAGGCAGCTGACCCATGTGGGGAGGGAGGGAGTGGAGCCCCTTGCAGTGGCTGAAGCAGGCCACGCGGAGCAAAGGGAGAGAAGGGAAGGAGGCGGGCAGATGCGTGAAAGAATCACACTGGGTAATCTCCAATTGGGTCAATTGGGGTAAATAACCGAAGCAGTCTGGGAGAGTGGAAAATTTCGGACAATGCGAGACAGTGAGGTGGACGAGGGATCCCAGAGATGAAAAGGAGTCGGGCAGCTGATGGAAAACTCTGCACTCGCGAATGACGAGGCGCTTGAGGGACACCAGCGCGCCGAAATTCGCAGGCAGGGAGATTAGGTCGTCGTATTTGAGGATTGTAAGCGCGTGGAGGCGGGAGAACCGGCAAAAGGCGGGCGGCAAAGAGGAGATACTGGATCCGCAAGACAGGGTTACTTCTTCAAGTGAAGGCAAGCCGATAAGTGGGTCCAGAAACGAATCCCTCCTGGTCCCCACTATAGTCAGCTTCTTTAGCGCTCCAAGTGAGGCGAAAAGGGTTGGCAGAGTCTTCATGTAAGAGCAATCCATAAGCTCCAGCTCCTCTAAACAAGACAGCATTGGGAACTCTCCAGGCAGTTGTTCCAAGCGCCGACAACTGAGATGAAGCTTCTTCACGGAGCGTAACTCGCTGAACGATGGCCGCGGCAGATCCGCCATCCATAAGCATTTCCTCAGCTCTAATACCTCCAGCTTCCCCAGACAACCGATATTCCTCAAAAGGTCGACATGGGCTCGAAACCCCTGGGAATCGTCGTAGTTCACGCGTAGCGTACGAAGCAGGGTTAATCTCGCGAGGTCAGGAGTCGGATCGTAGAGGTGGATGTTAGTTAGGTCAAGGTACGTTAGCGACGTGAGGTCCGCGACGGAGGCCGGGAGCAAAGGGCAAGGCTGAGTGTCGCGTTCGTAGCTGTTTTTGCGGGTGAAATGCAGGGTCAGCGATTGCAGGGACGACGCGAGGAGCGAGAGAGAGGGAGGGAAGAACTCGAAGCGACCGGAGAGGTTGAGCGAGCGCAGATTACGCAACCGGCCAAGGGTTATTGGCAGGAGGGTGGAGTACTGGAGCTTTGAGATGGTGAGGTGGGTCAGCCACTCGAGCGAGCAAAACCCTGCGGACATGAACCTTCGCTCCGAGCGTTCCGATTCGTCTACGCTAATGTCGAGATGACGCAAGGAACGGCCGAGGGGCGGGTATGTCGCATTCGACTCAGCGGCGGCGATTTCTAGGGCAGCGTTGTAGATTGCGGTGGGAGATTGAGAGTTTGGGCAAGCCGACTGCCAGAGCGGCATGACATCGGCTCCTTCCATCCACCCCACGTGACCCAGCTTCACGAAAGTCAGCGACGGCAGAGCGAACAACCCCACGGGAAACGACCCGTTTCCGTCTGTGCGCGCCACCTCGAGCCGCTCGAGCGATGTCAGATGGCTTAGCGACTCGAGCGTCTCGTTGAATTCCAACGAGTCGATGGTGACCCGGCGGAGCTGCGACGCGACGATGCGATCGAATCGGGGAAGTTTGAGCCCCACACATTGATAAATGGTGAGAGCCGTTAGAGACTCGATGCATGAGGCTAGGAAACTCTGTAGGTTGAGATGCGAGCCCAGCGTAGCTTCCTCCCGTCTCCTCCATTCTGTTAACCCGTAGAAGAAGTTTCGCAACTCCAGCCGTCGCATACTCTGCAGCGCCAATGCGGACTGGGAGGTGAGGTGAGAAACCGTCGATTTGGAGAGAGGTGAGGGACGAAAGGTCGCCGAACGACTCGGGAAACAGCCGCAATTTAAAGCATCTCGAGAACGAGAGCTGCGTTAACGACTTCAACTCCCCAAAAGCTTCGGGCAGCTGCAACAGTAACGGGCAGGTTAGGCAGAACTCCTGGAGCGCGGATAGCTGGCACATCTCGTCGAGCAGAGTGCGAAGAAACTCGGAGTGTAGCCGGAGCACACGCAGCAAGGACATAGACGCGATGGAACCTGGAAGGTTCTTCAGTTGGCCGAGGCAGTCCGAGAGCGTCAGCTCCTGTAACCGCGGCGCCGCCAAACGAAAAAACACCTCCAGAGGCTTCTGACCAATTCTGAAATGAGGTGCTGCCGTAAAGCGCGGCTCGTGCAGGCTCAGGCGGACGAGTCGCGAGGAGGCGGCAATCAGGGAGGTAAGGAAAGCGTCGTCATAGAAATCAGGAAGTGACATTCGGAGCGAGGGAGAGGATGCGAAAGAGCGCAGGCGCGGAAAGAACGGGAGCGGAAGGCTCTTTTTCCCATCCTGAAGTTGGCGCGTGGCCGCGATTGACGCAAAGGGTAGTCATGCTTCTTAACCATCGTTTGCATGGGACTGCGAGGTCAGTCAAAGTGCTGACGGTGGGCTTGCTGCCGCCGCTGCTGCTGCTGCTGCTGCTGCTGCTGCTGCTTCTGCCGTCGTTTGCGCCATAAGCGCTGCCGGGCTCCGTAACGGCGCGAGTCGCAGCGAGTGAGAAGATTTTAAATAGAATCTCGTCTGGCAGGCTATGGATGGGCGTGCCGCAAGCGCTGCGATGGGCTGCTGGGGGCTCCATAGAATAGTAGGCGCTGACTCGTCCAGTTCGTTGAAGTTTCGCTGACACGATTCATGGCTCCATTCTGGTGTCTAGAAACGCTCGAGAAATTCTCCCTACACAATCGTTTTCGTGGACAACCATCTATCAAGCAGGCCAAACCAATTTTCTATCAATTCAACGCACAACCAACAGACGGCCTTGTTCGTGCGTGGTGCTGAATTGGTTGTGCACGAAACTCTGTGGACCTTGCGCGACTCGTCAGAAAGGGTTCACCAAGGCTGCGTTTCCCGTTCCTGGAACAAACCACCGGTTGGCCAGGTAGTGTTTTATTGCGGCCATTTTCAGGTGCATGCAACTTATCCTGGGAAATGTATTCAAGTGCATGCCATGTTATTCTGCAGGTGTGTACACTTTACGCAGCTTAGAAATTTGTTATCGTAATAGGATGCGCTCCCCAAGATTCGTTTCGAACTAGCACAAACAGTCGAGAATAGATGCGATTACGGATTACGCAAAGCGAAATCGGGAATGGCTGGCTCTCGATTCTACATTCGCTGACGTCACCAGAAGCAATCATTGCATGTTTGCCCAATTTCGACGCGAATTTCTGCTTCGCCCTAACTCTTCTCAAACCAACTTAAATGCTAGATCAGCTGTACTGTTGACGCGGGTGATGGACGCTGCGCAGGGCAAATCAACAAATTTTTCTTGGGCGTGCAGAAATTAAGAAAGGATGATCCGAAACGTGAAAAATCTGCCCGAGTTCTAATTGAGTTTCCTTTACCGCTATACAATATATGCGCTACAAGTATTATAAATGGTAAGTAATGAAAGCTAAGGTATCCCACCAATTAGAATATACATGTACCGTAAGAACATTATTTTTGTAGGGGCAAACTTTACAAAAATTCGGGCAGACTTCTCATGGATTAACACGTACGAAACAGGCCTTGATATCGAACAATGATAACTCTGCTACGCAAGTCATGCGACTCGAGTCGGTAGGCGGGGGAAGCACAGCACAACGGGAAGCAAACCTGCACTGCATGAATGTCGTCATAATTCTCGGGGGAAAAGATGCCTCACAAAAAGCGTCCCCGCTGGAAAGCGAGCCACTTGAAAAGTAGAACACTCACAATCTATGGGTGCCCTATCCTGTCTCGTCAGCTGGTTAATGTATTTAGTTACTATGCATGATATGTCTCGCTTCCCTTTCTAATTCCCCTTACTGATAGAGAAATGGGGGAATCTTGCTGGTGGAGTCGAAGGAAATTTGGGAGTATGGCTTGGGAGGCGTGACAATCTCAAACTCCAACGACCCATCGTTTTTTGCCACATATGGCATTCCCAATCCTACTTTGTGCGACTACACTTGTGAGAAGAGTAACCAAAAAAAGCTTACACATCAGCGCAATTTACCCTAACAAGTGAAGTCCTAATCCGAGAGAACAGAGCATGGCAGTGAGATATGTCAAATTATTGAACACTTCATGTTTGAAGCTTCTCCGGATTTAGCTCCCCCCCTCACACTCCTTTCCCCTCTAACATGGTCCGCTTCTCCTGATTTAGCTCCCCCCTCACACTCCTTTCCCTTCTAACTAGGGCCCCACACGCTCCGGTTTCCCATTTCCCCCCCTCACTACACAAACTCCCTTTCCAAACACCCCCATCTCCCCCCCTTCTTCCAGCAATCCACTCCCATACACATCCACATGCCTCAATGCTCTGGCTTCTCTAAGAGATCTTGGTAGAGATTTTAGCGCCACACACTCCCATAACTGAAGCACCTCCAAACGAAGCATCTGACCCATGAGGGGAGGGAGGGAGTGCAGAGCCTTGCAGAGATTGAAGCAGGCCACTTGGAGAGAAGGGAGGGAGGGGAATGAGGAGGGCAAATGCGTGAAAGAAGCACACTTGGAAATTTCGAGTTGGGTCAATTGCTGTAGCGAGCCAAAGCCGTCAGGGAGAGTGGAAAATCCCTGACAACGTGTAACACTGAGGTGGATGAGGGATCTCAGGGCGGAAAATGAGTCGGGCAGATGGCGAAAACTCTCGCACTCGCGAATGGAGAGGCTCTTGAGGGATACCAGTGCGCCGAAATTCGTAGGAAGAGAGCTGAGGCTGTTGTAACTGGCGATTGTTAGCGTGTGGAGGCGGGAAAATCGGCAAAAGGGGGGCGGCAAAGATGAAATGTAGGATCCGCAAGTGAGGGTTACTTCTTCAAGCGACGGCAAGCCAATCAGTGAGTCCAGAAATGAATCCCTTTGTGTCCCCACTATAGTCAGCTTCTTTAGCGCTTCGAGTGCGACAAATCTGACCGGCAGTGTCTTCATGTGATTGCACTCCATCAGCTTTAGCTCCTCTAAACGAGTCAGCTGAGAGAACCTTGCAGGCAGCTGCTTCAAGCGCTCGCAACTCAGATGAAGTTTCTTCAGGGAAGGTAGCTTGCAAAACGATGGCGGGAGCCCCGTCATCCACCGGCATTCCTTCAGCTCTATTGTTTCCAGCTTCCCCAAGCAACCGATATCCTTCTGAAGATCGACGTGGGCTCTAAACCCGCAGGAATACTCGTAGTCCACGCGTAGCGTACGAAGCAGCGCAAATTTGGCGAGTTCGGGGGTCGGATTGTGAAGCTGGATGTCGGTTAGGTCAAGGTACGTTAGCGACGTGAGGTCCGCGACGGAGGCCGGGAGTACCGGGCAAGACTGATCGTCGCGGTTTAAGTAGCCGCCTTCGCGGGTAAAGTGCAGCGTCAGCGACTGCAGGGACGACGCGAGGAGCGCGAGGGACGGAGGGAAGAACTGGAAGCGACCGGAGAGCGAGAGCGAGCGGAGACTACACATCCGCCCGAGGGCTATTGGCAGGAGGTTGGAAATATGGAGATCTGAGATGGTGAGGTGGGTTAGCCACTCGAGCGCACATATCCCGGGAGACATGAACCTTCGTTCTGAGCGTTGGTGCTCGCCCATGCTCAGGTCGAGATGACGGAGGGAACGGCCTAGGGGCGGGAATGTGGCAATCGTGGCCGCGGCGGCGATGGGTAGGGTTGCGTTGTAGATTACGGTGGGAGATGTATAGGTGAGATAGATGTTGCTTGCACGGTACGACTCCCAAAGCGGAACGACGTTGCCTCCGTCCATCCACTTGACGCAACCCAGCTTCACGAAAGCCAGCGACGGCAGAGCGAAGAGTCCCACGGGGAACGGCTCGTTTTCTTGCACGTGTGCCACCTCGAGCCGCTCGAGCGATGTGAGATGGCTTAGCGACTCGAGCGACACACCAGAGCTCGCCCAGTCGATGGTGACGTGGCGCAGATGAGAAGCGAAGATGAGTTCGAATCGGGGGATGTTGAAATCCCGGCAGTTACGGATGGTGAGAGCCGTTAGCGACTCGATTCGTGCGGCCGGAAGGTAGGGTATGTTGCGACACGAGTCCAGCGTAACTTCCTCCAGATTTGTCCATCTTTTGCACGCGTCTGGCAGCCCGTTGTCGAAGTTTCGCAGCTCCAGCCGTCGCATTCGCTGCAGCGCGCCGATGCGGACTGGGAAACCAATCACTTGCCAGGAGCCGTCGATCTGGAGGGAGGTGAGGGACGAAAGGTCGCCGAACGACTCGGAAAGATGCCGCATTCCTTTGCATTCCGAAAGCGAGAGCTGCGTCAACGATTCCAGCCTCCCAATTGCTTCGGGCAGCCGCAACAGTAACGGGCAGCTTAAGCAGAGCTCCTGGAGCGTGGAGAGCTGGCATATCCCGTCGGGCAGCATACGGAGAAATTTGGAGTGTAGCCGAAGCACGCGCAGCGAGGACAAGGACGCGATGGAATCTGGAAGCTTCATCATTTGGCCGAGACAGTGCGAGAGCGCCAGCTCCTGTAACCGCGGCGCCGCCAAGCGAAAAAACTCATCCAAAGGCTGATGACCAATTCCAAACTGAGGCTCTGCCGTAAAGCGCGCCTCGTGCAGGCTCAGGCGGACGAGTCGCGAGGAGGCGGAGATTAGCGAGGTAAGAAACGCGTCGTCGTAAAAATCGAGAGCGCATTCGGCGAGAGAAACGGAAGTGATGCTCGGAGCGCGGGACAGGATGCGCAAGAGCGCAGGCGCGGAAAGCACGGAAGCGGAAAGCTGGCTGTGCCAAGATGGCGCGAGGCCGCGATTGACGCGAAGGGCAGTCATGCTTCCTAGCCAGCGTTTACACGTAACTGCGAGGTCACTAAACGTGGTGACGGTTGGCTCTCTGCCGCCGCTGCCGCTGCCGCTGCCGCTGCTGCCTGGCTCCGTAACGGCGCAAGTCGCAGCGAGCGAGAGGATTTTGCGAAGGAGCTCGTCTGGTAGATTGTGGAAAGGCGAGTCGCGCGCGCTGCGCTGAGCTGCTGGGGGCTCCATAGAATAGAAGAAGACTCGTTTCACGTTGTTGCCAGTTTAGTGAAGTTGAACTTCTGCGTAAGATACTGGGACTGATAGAGGCGGTATGCTGCTGCTATGCTAACAGAGGCCACGGCTAACAATCCATGGCTCCACTCTCGTGGCTCTGAAGCTCCGACTGGGTATCTCTGTCCAAGAACAATCAGTTCTCACATACAACAGACGGACAACCTCGTACATACAGGACAACGTACATGCCACATAGAACTAGCGCTGTGACGCATGAGTCATGTCATTCATGACACGCACAAAACTCCTTTCGATTGAGCGCGACTCGTCAGAAGGGGGTCCACCTCACCGCCACCAAACGAGCAGTAGCCCCGTTCCCTCCCGAAACAAGCCACCCCTTGCGCCAAGGTCGTGTTTCGATGGCTGGGAGAGGCCTTGACGTGGAGCCCTGATGTGAAACCCGATACAAGGCGTGAACACACAGTTTTTGTGCACATGTACCGTGCTCCCTAAATGATTCAGTAGAGTAATGACACTTTCGTGATAAAAATTTCGTGATGGCTAACAAGTTAAAATTTCATACACCAGTAAGTTATGTTGTTCGAACAAGTATACAATGGATATGGTAGGTGGAACAAAAATTATTGGAAACAAAACATGGATATCAAAGCTGATAAAAGCACCCCTAGCAAAACTACATCTACTATGTTCAACAACTAAACACCTCGCACTACACTTCAACTACACAGGTCTAGCAGCACCTGTGGCAATTACAGGCACAATGGTGTCTGCAAGACAAAGAATGATGGAGAGGGAGAGCAGGCGACAGCCAGCCACTGGATGGATCCTGGTTCTCGCTCAAGCTGCTTGAGATTTCTCACATGGGACTGTCAGACGGCCCCTGGGATCTTCAACTTCTCACCACACCTCACCACACAGCACTCCTCACAGAATCATTTTCAGTCAGGTATCTCCACCCAGCTGTTGCAGAATGTCGGTGACTCGCTTTCCCTGGCCGTCTCCGGTTAATTCCACCACCACCCATCTCCCCTTTCCCTCACCCTCCTCCTCACCCTTCCCCCCCTCTCGTTCTCTGTCCCTCTGCCCGCCTAGCAAGCCCGCTGCCTGCTGCCTCCATTGTATCAACCCATCCACATGCAACACTCGTTCCACTCCCTTCACTCCCTTCACTCATCCCACTCCTCCTTACGTGCTTCCTGCATCGACCAATCACTCACAAGTCACTTGGCTTCCCCACGAAGCAACATGCGCTGCTCCCAGTGCCGAGGTGACTTCTGTGACTTCTGGATAGACTCAAAAGTGGCCTACACAACTCACTTGGCCTCCTCGCCTGCAAAGATATCCTTCCGGGAGACCAGTCCTTGGCAGCGAGCATTGAGACGCCTTCAAACTCCTGTCTCAGTGGCTTCCAACTCATTTTGCCTCCTCGCCTGCAAAGATATCCTTAACAGAAGACCAGTCCTTGGCAGCGCGCTGCTCCCAGTACCCCCCCACATATGTCCACGTGTTGTGCGGCCCCATCTGCTTGAACCACCGCGGCTGCCACCCCTCCTCCTTGCTCTCACGCGCCTGCGTGGGAACGAGCAGCGTGCGTGTGAGGGAGAGAGGGGAGTGGGGAGTGGAAAGAGGAGATGGGGACTTTTGAGATCTCTCCTCCTTGCTCTCATCCTTTCTCCTTGCTCTCATGCGCCTGCTTGGGAACGAGGGATGTGCGTGTGAGGGGGAGTGGGGAACGGGGTGTGGGGAGTGGGAAGTGGGGAACGGGGTGTGGGGAGTGGGAAGTGGAGAGTGGGAAGTGGCAAGTGAAGAGGAGAACCCAGTACTTAACCCAGTTTGGCTCTGTCAAAGGCCCTCTTTTCCACACACACCCCGTTTTTCACACACCACTTTCTCACTTAATTCTTCAAGCACTGCCCTTCTTCTTAAAGCCTCTCTCACAGCCAAAGCCCGAAACTGCGTTGTTAAAAAAAAAAAAACTTCCAGGCATCCCCTTACAACCCAACCCCACACAGCAGCCCCTTCTGACTCCCACCCACCTGTCGTTGCCGTGTCTCGAGGCGAATCTTCTCCTCATTGGCGCGGTCAAAGTACCCTTCCTCCAATGCCCGCTGGTCCGGACGTAGACGTGAGTCCGTGGGAGGGAGAACACCCTGGGAGCAAGGAGAGGAGAGGGAGAAAATGAGGGGATGGGTTGATTGAGTCGCTTTCAGAGTCCTTGGAAGAGAGCACGTTCTGGGATCAAGATAAGGAGGCGGGAGGAGGGGAAAGGGGGGTAGCAAGAGGCGGGGCAGAGAGGCGCTTGGGGTATGCTTTTGATGATATTTTTGAGGCGCCGCCACAGTCTGCTTTTGAGGCGTCACAGCGGCTCATACTCGCAAAGTATGGATGCATATGCGAGGTAAGAGGTGATGGGGAGGAGCACGCTTTAGCAGCAAGGAGAGAGAGAGGGAATGAGGGGGTGAGCACGGCCTACCAGCAAAAGAGAGGGGCAAATATCACAACTGACTGACCGACCGACCAACCGACCGAGTGAGTGAGTGGTTGAGCGAGTAAGTGTTTGACTGAGTGAGTGAGTGAGTGAGTGAGCGGCCGTCCAAGTCCTTCCTTGCATTGCAAAGAGGGCTGCTGCAATGAGCGCTCAAAGAGACCTTGCCTGATTGACCACATTCCCTCGACTTGAGGTCTGGGTTGATCTAGTAAAATATAATGTGATGATGTAGCTGCATAACAAGGCGGCGCGGGGCACGAATTTTGCGGCGTCTCAGAACTCACCTTGAGGTCGGGGGTAATTTCGTTGAGAGTGATGCAGTACGGTGTGAAGGTGTACTCACATACGAAGAACGAAAGGGAGGGAGGAGGGGATGTGGGTAATCACATACTCACAATCAAGACGTCTCAGAGCTCACCTTGAGGTCGGGGGTAATCTCGTTGAGAGTGATGGAGTACGGTGTGAAGGTGTACTTGCACGGGAAGGGCGAGGGGGGGGACTTGCGCCACAGCAGGTGCGCGTGCGCCATGAGGTGCTGGTCGTCCTTGGCCGCCTTGCCGTGCTCCTTGTGCGACAGGTCCCCCGGCACATAGTGCAACGACTCGTCCCACCGCCCAACAAGAGTCGCCAGCTTCTCTCCTTTCTCGCCCACCGCGTAACCCCGCACCTGAGAGGAGGGGGAGCAGCGGATGTGGGTTGAGGGAAAGAGATGGAGAGGGGTCCTGGATCGCGCCGCAGTGGCGGCATTGCCGGTGTCCCACCCCTTGGCACCCGTCTGGCCATAGCAGCAGGTGCGCGTGGGCCATGAGGTGCTGGTCGTCCTTGGCCGCCTTGCCATGCTCCTTGTGCGACAGGTCCCCCGGCACGTAATGCAGGGACTCGTCCCACCGCCCCACCAGCGCTGCCAGCTTCTCGCCCTTCTCGCCCACTGCATAGCCCCGCACCTGGGAGAGGGGGAAAGGGCGGGTGTGGGTTGGGAGAAAGAGAGGGAGGAGAGGGATTGGGTCGCGCTGCATTGGCATTGCCAGCTTCTCCCGCTTCTCCCGCTTCTCGCCCACTGTGTATCCCCGCACCTGGGAGGGGGGAGCGGAGGGTGTCCAGTGTGTGGGTTGGGAGAACGAGAGGACGAGAGAGGGCTGGGATCGCGGCACACTTGTGTTGGCATCTTCTCACCGCGTGACCCGGCACTCGCAAAGTCAGTGGTAAGTCGGGAAGAACTAGAAGCATAAATATGAGGTTGGAAGCAGAGGGGAGCACAACAGAGCAAAGGGACCAGCACACAGCAAAGAGATCATGCTAGAGAAACAGGTGGAGTGGAGCGGAGGTGAGAGAGAGGGGTTATCTAGTACCCACCTGGTGCGTGTCGCGGTCAAAGAAGGAGCGCCTTTTGAGAATTCTCAAAAGTAGCACCAGAAGGAGCGCTCCTTGCGGCACATGGGGATGCCTGGGTTGCTGTTGGCATTCGCACATGGGCGCAGCACACCCATGACTGACAGGTGAAGTGGAGAGCATGGGCGAGTCGATTTTTAAGTCGACTTAAAAATTGACTGACAGGTGAAGTGGAGAGCATGGGCGAGAGAGAGGTAGTAAGGACCATTCGAGGTAGTACCTGGTGCGTGTCGCGGTCGAAGAAGGATCGCTCCTTGAGCTTGAGTCGCACGGAGATGCCTCGGTTGCTGTTGATGCGCATGGTGCCGTAGTGGTCTATGTACAGCTTGCCGATGATCAGGTTGTAGATGCCTGTGGTCACCTGTGCGTAGGGTATGAGCGCAGGAGCATGGCAGGGGAGGAGAGAGATGGAATGGTGAGACCGGGGTGTTGATGCGCATGGTGCCGTAGTGGTCTATGTACAGCTTGCCTATGATCAGGTTGTAGATGCCCGTCGTCACCTGCACACGCGTTGATGGGAACAGAAAGAGGACTTGATGAGAGCAGGATGCGGAACAGCAAGTCCTCTTTCTGTTCCCAATGGGCATGAAGGGCAAGGGTTTATGATCACGAGCAGAGCGGAAGGAGCAAATGCAGGAGCGCATGTTGAATGGACGCAGGATGGCAGCCTTTTCCCCCACCCACCACACACACACAGCAGGTAACAGCTCTTGAGGTGCCTAAAAAAGAGTAGCATCTCCGTCTGCGTGATTGAAGAAGGGTTTTGAGACGTCTCAAAAAGCTTCTGAGGTGCCTGAAAAAGAGTAGCACCTCCGTGTGCATGGACCTATGAAACGCCCCCAGCTCATCCCATATACACACACACCATACCATACCTTCTCGGCACACCGCCGTATTTCACCAC